AGCTACAAGACTAAGGGAGGTAGTCTCTCACTACAGTTTGGTGAGGAAGCTCTTAATCATCTTACAATTTTGGATTTGATAATGATCGTATGTACAGTATATAATTTTGATACCAATTGTTTGCCAATGATTGCTCTATCCTATGTAGTCAAAATGAAGAATGCTTAATTTTTTTGTGAATATACAGTATATATTGAGACTGGCTAAGCCTGTGTTCAAATCTTAGTCATTACATAATGTGTGCACCCATGAATAATTGTCCGTTGTAATTTGATATGGAATTGTTCATCGATGCTTGTTCTATCACATACCATGTTCAAAATATAGAATGCACAATACAGGAATTTTGGTATCGATGTATTGTTTAGTGTTGGAGAAAGGTGGGTTATGATAGATTTGTACTAAGTGTTTATGGGGGGATGGGATAGTGTCACCTGGGGTTTGGTGGATTGAATGAAATAACTTTTGCAACGAATTGGCCTTGCCCAATATAGTTCATTCAAGTGAGTTCACACTACAGTACTGTACCTACATGATACTTGTATCCAGAAATGGGCCATAGGGCTAATATTGATACAGTACCTTATCTTTTACTTACCTGATTTACCTGTTTTTAGGCCTCTATTCCTAGTGGCTTCGACGAGGACAGGAAGCTGGTGGCTTGTTGAAGGTTCTCCCCACTTTCCTTTGTGATCTTTTCTAAGTATATTATAAAACTCGACACACTTTTGGCAGTTACGGCTCTAGCAGGTAGGCGGTTCCATGGGTTAATAACCCTGAGGGTGAAAAAGCATCTGTTCTCAGTCGTACTTTGTGGCTTGTTGAGCTTGTAACTGTTGTTCCTTGTTTGTGGTACATCTGACCTGAAGAAAATATCCAGATCAACATCGTCTAACTTGTTCAGTATTTTAAGTTTCAATGAGATCCACCCTCTCATGCCTGGTTTGCAGTGTTGATAGCCCTGTGGCCTTTGAGCATTCCTGATACGAGATGACTTGGCTCTGTAATTGCTTTGGTTGCCCTCCCTTGCACCTTCTCCAGAGCAGCTATGTCCTGAAAATGAGGTCTCCATGCTTACATTACAATGCACTTTTCTTGGTGTCCATCCAAGTGTCATCGAACAGTTTTAGAAGTAGACAGCTACTTTAGAAGAGAATATATTATACAAAATTAACCCCTTAAATTGAATGAAAAATTAACTCTTTAAATTTCGTTAGAACCTGACCCATGGAAAAATTATTAGTGTTATTCTAACATAATTTTAATAGCACCTTTCATGTTTCTGTGTTGAATTCGTCATAGCTTTCGTCTATTCACTGGTGCATGTGCATTAGGTTTTTCAATGTGTAGAGATGGACCACCTTTTGAAAGCGGTGACTTTATCCTGTTCCTAAAGTCTCATTATTCAAGGAAAGTCTCCAAGTTTAGCATGATTGTATACACTTCCCTACTCATTTTTACAAAATAGCCTGACGTTCCTACTACTGCAGCTACTGAAGATTCTTAAATCTTTTGTATTACATACCAGTACGTATAATTGTTGCACACTTTGTCCCTTATAAAATGTGGAGGTACAGTATAATAATTTATAACAATAATGTTTATTCAGGTAAAAATACATACAGTACATACAAAATGAGTTATAAACAGAATGTTGAATTTCTAGATAAAGCTAGTATATACTATTCCTAAATCCACTAATACGCATAGCATTTCAGGCAAGAAGTTGGAGAAACACACAAAATACTAAGACAAAAACTACTGTAATTGAGATCAAAAGAAACATTTGAACTGAAATACAGTAGGGGGACAAAAAAATTACAATACTGTACTGTACTGTAATTACATATTGGATGGAACAGCAGAAATTGCATCAGAACAGCAGAAGTAATTTTAATGTTACGCTTATACATTGCAGATATCAGCAGTTATACAAGTTGGTCAATAATCAATATTGTTTCAAAATAACAAGACAGGTTGACATTTAGGAGGTAATTTAGGTTACATGAAGTCGAATAGGTAGTGCTTAGTTTTTCTCTTAAGCTGGTTGAGAGAGGGACAGTCTTTGGCATGACTGGGAAAATCATTCCACATTTTGGGACTCTTGATTTGCAGAGTTTAATTTACAGAGGATTTCTAGTTTGGTAAAGTCGCACTCTTCGAATATCAAATATATACTGTATTTGTTTCTAGTTTGGTGCCCATGGGTTGCTGCAACCTTCTTGAAAGCATTGAAGGTCAGGATTGGCATTACAGTTCGGTTTTATATATATAGAGTACACTTTAGAGGATGTCTTGAGGCTACATGTACCTTGAGATGAAACCAGCATTGAATGTTATGAAACGCCGTTTTCTGGGTAAGCCCCGGTGTCTCCCTGGCACCCTTCCGCCCTCTGGTCAGTGGTTTCGTTTTTTATGTTTAGCTTCCGAACTAAGGTGAGGGGCCAGCGCGTGAGTCTGGGGCTTTCCCTACCCCTTCAGGGGAGGGAAGGGCTGTGTGGACAAGCTGCACGGTGGCGGTGAATGTCAATTGCTTGTTTGCTGGTTTCCATTTTCTTTTGGGGAGTTCTATTTCTCTGTTTGGTCTTGGGTTTTTACAATTTTTTCCATGTGGGGTTTGTTATGATATACTAACCTTTCTGGATGCCTAACCTCGGTCGATGGCAGACATGGAATAACCCCCAAATACAAGGTGGGGGGGGGGGTTCTCCTTAAGCCATTGCTTCCCATGCCTCTCTGAGGGGGGCCGGGTTCCAGCTCTGGTCCCTGGTAGGCAGGACTCCATTAACTGAAGCCCCAGACTAATAGCCCATATCAGTCCTATAGCTCAAGTAGCCTCTGGGGTTCACCCAGAAAATGGTGTTCCATTTACATACAACGTTGGTTTTTTGGGGTCTGAAATCGGTCACATTGGCAAGAGCTAAGTATATTGTGTTTAGCTAGATAAGAGTAAAGTTGCTTTTAGATTAGCTTTTCAAATATTTTAGACAAGGTTGGCAGAATTTATATTACTTTGAAATTGTTGACATCTGTGAAATCATCACTTTTATGGACTGGAGTTACTCTTGCTTTTTTTTTTTTTTTAGAATATCCGGAAAGGTTTGGCATTAGTGATTTGTTATAGAGCAATACAATGGCCTGTGCTAAAAATCTAGAGGCTTTTTTTTGTACATTAGAGTTGGTATCTCAACAAGGGCACTTGACTTTGTTTTAAGAGAAAGAATTATCTCATTAACAACTAGATGGATTAGTGGGAGTTAGGTACAGAGACTAGATAGTTTCCTGTAAAGTAGTCCTTGACATTAGTTTGGGAGGATGGGATATCATTTGCAAGGGATGTGCCAATGGATGAGAAGAAACTATTGAATTTAATGGCAGTGTCAGAGGCAGAAGCATACCATTTTCATTGGCTAGGAGTATTGGTTTCTTATTAAGGATCTACTTTGATCCTAATACAGTGGCATCTTGGTTTACGAATTTAATCCAATCTAAGAGACGGTTCATACTCTGAAAATGTGTAAACTGAAATAAATTTTCCAATAGGAAATAATGTAAATTGAATTCGTTTCACACACCCAAAAATAATAACTTAAAAAATACTATTTTATACTGAATACTACTAATATTTTTTACTATACCTTACCTTTACTGAGGACTCTTGTTGGTGTATGGTCTTGATGTTTGTCTGAGCTTGGCAGCCTCTCCGTGCCTCACAACACTATGAATACTACTTCGTTTTCTAAATTTCTCAAACAATCCCCCTGCTTAAATGCTCTCATATCTGCATCACTCGTTCCAGGAGGATTTCTTTACAAGATCTTTGTGCAATGGCCATATTTTTTCACAAATGATGGCCTCTGAAATGCTATCACCTGCTAACTGCTTGACGTCGTTTGTCCAAATTAGTGATGATAACTTTTCAACATCCTCAAGTGTGTGTGTGTGTAATTACCTAAGTGTAATTACCTAAGTGTAGTTACAGGATGAGAGCTACGCTCGTGGTGTCCCGTCTCCCCAGCACTCTTTGTCATATAACGCTTTGAAATTACTGACGGTTTTGGCCTCCACCACCTTCTCACTTAACTTGTTCCAACTGTCTACCATTCTATTTACAAAAGTGAATTTTCGTACATTTCTCCGGCAACTTTGTTTCGTTAGTTTAAATCTATGACCTCTTGTTCTTGAAGTTCCGGGTCTCAGGAATTCTTCCCTATCAATTTTATCGATTCCTGTTACTATTTTGAACGTAGTGATCATATCGCCTCTTTTTCTTCTATCTTCTAGTTTTTGCATATTTAATGCCTCTAACCTCTCCTCGTAGCTCTTGACCTTCAGTTCTGGGAGCCACTTAGTGGCATGTCGTTGCGCATGTGTGTTCTTTGTTTGGTGATTGTTACGTCTTTTGCCACTTTAGAACTCATAATGTCCTTTTTCTTAGCAATTAAGATGCATATCGTTGAAATAGGTTTGTTGTACTGCCTAGCTCGATCAACAACCATCCTCATGCCATTTTCATGTTTACGAATGATCTCGTGGTTTTTCCTGTCTTCATCCTCACAACTATTTTCTCAGGTTGACCTTTACCACTGACTTTCTTGGGACCCATGGTGTGATATATAAAAGTCTTTTATATTCAGAAACCAAAAAAGCAGAAAAACAATAAAATTCTTCACAAAGAATTCAAGCGTTTTCGTCACTAGGTGGGATACAATGGTAAACTGAGTGTGCCTCGCCCCACGTCCAGCAGAACCCATGCACTCGACCCATACATGTATCGACAAACACTCATATTCCGAGGCAAACTTCGTATGCAGAGTCTAATTTTACGAGGAAATTGACTTCATATACCAAAAAATTTGTAACCTGGGGGCATTCGTAAATCGAGGTTCCACTGTATTTGGAAAATAGTACTCTGTTTTCTTCATGTTGCGTGACATTTACAATGTGTATGGTATGGTGATTCTCTTGTCATATTTCTTTTAACGTAACTTTTTCCTCAGGCGGGTGCAATGGTTCGGGCATCAAAACTGCCCAAATTGCAGGATGCATCTGAGAGTTTACTTGGAAGTGTGTGGGGAGTCTCTGGTCCAGGTGAGTTTGAAGTCTCCATGATGTTTTGGCAAAATTTATTATGTAAGCTACTGTAATTTTTCTCAAGTGTGTGGAAAGTAAATATTCATTTATTATATTTTGGTCAATATAGTACAGTATTTCTAATATTCTTTAACCAGTTTCACTAATTTGTGTTCAAATGGATAAATGCAGTAATTTTTTATATTTTCTTTCAGTGGTGACAGCCAAGCAGATGAGTGGGTCTGCTATGTACGAGTTGGTGCGTGTGGGTCACCAGGAACTAGTCGGAGAAATCATCAGGCTGGAGGGAGACATGGCCACCATCCAGGCATGTTATTCAATTTTTGTTGTTTATTCATTAAAAATGGCCCTCTTAACAATCTGCAGTATGCAGTACAGTATTTTAATCTTTCCCTTAACTTAGCGATTCCCAAAGTGGGCAGCAGCACCCTAGGAGGAACTCAAGGCACCAGGAAGAATACCTGTTAATGATGATAATAATAATACCTGTCATTGATTCCGAGGATCAACGTCCCTGTGGCCCGGTCTCTAATTAGGCCTCCTGGTTGGTGGTCTGGTATTCCAGGCTCTTCACTGCAGCGGCTCGCAGCCTGATATACAAGTCACAGCCTGGTTGATCAGGTATCCGATTTTTTAAAGTGCAGAATTTATTGCTCTACCTTCTGGTTTAAAAATAGATCATTATAATGCTACTAAAGGTACAAAATGGAATGGGACACCCAGGAGATAACTTTATAGAGCCAAGACGGGGGGGGGGGGGGGGGGGGGGGGACAGTACTACAGTTTTTGTAATACAACCCTCACTGTAATGCCATTTTTTGACCTTGATCTTTACCAATGGTCTAAATTTTGCCTAAAGAAAATAATAAAGCTTCATTTTCTAATAGAATGTGATCGAAGTACAGTAACTAAAACCAGCCAATATCCATTTCCAAGACATAATAAATGCAGTTCAGTACAACAAAAGCATAATTGTTAGTTTATTTTTTTTCATTCCTCATGTTTATTTTTTTTCTAACTAGGAAAAAGTGTGCTCTACCATGAGAAATAAATACAAGTACACATGTATTTTCATACAAAGTATTAAATTAATTTTGTTTGCCATGTACTGAAACAAATGCTTCAAACAATAAAATTCCAGGCTATAAGTATCCTTTCAGTTTTATACAAGGTGTGACTGGCTCCTTCTCAGATACACACCCCACACCTCAGTTGTAGTTATTAATAGGTATGAAAATGGCATTGAGAAGAAAACAAACAGCCACAGTGGAGAGCATGATTGGTGGAAAACAGGTCAAAACCCCAATAGAAATGAGAAGTATAAAATTGATGTACAAATACAGATGGAATTATGAATAAAGGGGTAGAGCTGCAAGAACAGGTGGCAGAATGGCATCCTTACATCACTGCAGTTGTGGAGAGGAAACTGATGATCATAATAAAGGATGGAGTACTTCCAAGAGGATACTTGGTGGTATGGAAAGAAAGGATAGAGGGGTGGGGGGTAGTAGCCCTACTGATAAAACAACAACAACATTGGAGCTTTGTGGAGACGGAGATTCCAGAGGTAACCAACCAGGAGGCATTTCATACAAGGGTATAAGAGTGAGAATAATATAGTGGTAGGTGTTGTATACAATCCTCTAATAACTACAGAAAGGTCAAGGGGGAGGAAGATGATCAATGCAATGAAACATGCCTGAAGTGAATAGAGAAGGTGACAAGTGTATAGAAGGTAAAGAAGTGGCTTCTCCTTGCCACTTCTCCACAGTGGCAAGGAGAACCAGAGATCCTTATACGTGGTGATTTTAGACATGGGGAAATAGACTGGTAAACAAAGGAGAACCTCATTGGGGAGAAGGAACATGGAGAGCAACATTTGTGTACACTACAGGCTAACACTTCCTGTGGCAAGATCATTGCTCTTTTTAACACTTTCGCGCTTTCGATTAGAGATAACTCGTCACTGGTTTTTCTTACGATTCCGCATAACTGCCTACTTTTCTCGTCAATCGAAAAAATATTTCTATAAATTCCATTTTTTAACCGAAATGGATGGGGATACTTTTGTTTTGTAGAGAATTTATTTGGGAATTTTTTGATACCAGAATGAATATTATATCACATAAACTTCTATGAGTAAAAAAAAAAATACACAAAGTATGTTTGGGGGTGTGGCGAGCGTGTGGCAGTGGGTTCCGTTTAGCTGTTGATATATCCAACACGTGGGAAATATTTGTATGTGTTATGTATATGTCTGTGTAGGGAATTTTACTGCGATCACTGTCATACAAATTATAAAATGTTTCAACAAGTATAAACATGACAAACATCAAACGAACGAAAACAATGCAGTTGTTTCTGCCGGGAACGCATACTGAGCGACGTGGTTCTATATTTGGCGCTTCTCTTACACATGCTTTGTACAAATGTTATACAGTTCATCTTATAGAAAATTTTATTGCGAACACATTGGTATAAAAAAGAAATACGTACATAGAAAAGTAGGGTCAGGAAACGTATAAACTTTCCAAACATGATTTCCCCCCTGTGTTTTCGCCAGTGCGCTCACGGCTAACTACTCTCAACTTCACACACTCTTGCGGGTGGGCAATTACCTATATTAAACATTCATATGCATATGTCCGTGTAGAGAATTTTATTGCGATTCCAATGATACCAAAATTAGCGATGTAGGACAACTGTAGGCTTCGCAACCATTAAGAGAGTGGAAACATTTTGTTGCTGTTTGGCGCTCTCGGCAAGTGATCTGCATAGTTTTTTATTTGGTGTTGATACTCCTTATGCTTGGGCGGCATTTTATAGGTATGCTCTTATAGACAATTTCATTGCGAACACAGTGATACCAAATTTAAATATGTGCGCCTTCAATTATTGTCAGGACAGTCAAAAGAGTGTACACTTTTTCAGTCTTACCGCGTAGGCGCGCGAAGTGCCGAAAGCATCTGGGGTATTGTTTTTTTTTGAGCGCCGAGAGCGCGAAAGTGTTAATATATGTAAATGACCTTGCAGAGGGAGTGAGCATGTACATATCAATATTTGCAGGTGATACAGATTGCAGAAATATTCTAAATATAGATATATGTTGCTTTGATTCTTGCAAATATTTCCACCTGAAATTGTGTCAAAATTCACTAAACAAGAAGTAATGCTTTAAGAGACTGCTCAGCTTTTCATTTCAAAGGAACCAAGTGGATAAAATCCAAAGAATGCCATCATGAATACAGCAGCACCCATGCATACCAGGGTAATTTACCAGGGGTCTCTTTTAGTAATGAGGCACATTTAAGAGAACCAGATATTAATACCAAGTAAAATACCCAGCATTTCCACAAATAGGACAACATTTTAGCTATTTGTCATCATACAAGGTATTAAAACATGCAAAACAAAGTTTTCTTTATAACAGGCCTCTTAAATGAGGCAAATGCAATGTTTGCAGCTTTAACTGAAACACTCATTAGGGGGCTATTATAGACATCTTCAAGAGAAAACTAGATTGTTTTCTTCAAGGAGTGCCGGACCAACCGGGCTGTGATGGGTATGTGGGCCTGTGTGCCGCTCCAAGCAACAGCCTGGTGGACCAAACTCTCACAAGTCAAGCCTGGCCTCAGGTCAGGCTTGGGGAGTAGAAGAACTTCCAGAACCCCATCAAGCAGGTATCAAACAGGCAGTGACACATGGCCACTACAGTACAATCTTTTCAGGTGTGACAGGAAACACAGGCTACAGGGTGGGGTCAGCCTGTATATCAAAGACACACACTCGTCTGCACAGTGCTGCTGAACACCACAAACGATATGGTGGAAGTGCTGATAATCAAAATAGAACTAATAAATGTGGAGATTGTCCTTGTATATAAATCACCAGATGCAAATCCTCAGCAGTTTAAAGACCAACTTATGAAAATAGAATGCTGTTTACAAAAGCTCTCAAACCCTGCTCAAAACATCATCCTGCTTGATGATTTCAATTTAAGGCATCTAAGAAACAAAATTGTGGCAAATACTGTTATACTAGAGAGAATCCCAGGAAATAGTCTAAATGTAGTCACACACATAAATGACCTCTTGCAGGTGTGACAGATTTTCTTTCAACCAGCAAATAGAACCAACTAGAAAAGAAAATACCCAGATCATATTTTGACTGATGAACTGATTATGGACATAATGATTACAAATACAATACATGTTACTCAGATCACATCCTAATTGAAGTTCAGATATGCATGGACAATAAACCTGTGCAGCCAGTCTCAAATACAAGAGGAGAATTTAGCAAATTCAATTTCAATACGAAATTGATTAACTAAGATTGAATAAACCAAGACATCGCAGAAATATGCTGGGAAGAACAGCTAGATAATGCAAACTTAAACCAGTGCTTCGAGAAAACAGGCACAGTAACACTATAAATGAGGAAGTCGCATACCACAAAGGAAAAAGACAAATATGCAAACTGGAATGAGAACAGTGTTACCCCTATAGGTGGAAAAAAAAAAATCGCAGAACATCTCGAGCCCTCCACTCTGCCACTAACAATGAAGGCTATGCAGAGAAATGGAAACGATCACACTCAAGCTGCAAGAATCATATAAAATCCAAGAAAGGCAAAAAGACAGAACGCAATAAGTGAAATAGAGAGGAATCTAAAATAATTTTCTCCTATGCAAAATATAGACCAAAAACTACATCTAGCATTGGGCCCTTGCACATGAGTGATGGAACTGTTGCAGATGACAGGAAAGAAATGAGTGAAATATGGAGGCTTCAGTATGATTCTGTTTTCAGTGAAACCCTGAACACATTGAAGATCAGTGATCCAAATGAATTCATAAATGTGACGCCAACATTGAACTATATACTAAGAGTTTAATCCGTTCCTGGAGACGCCTCGCCTTCCGAAAACTCGCATTCCGAAGTTAATTTCCCCATAAGAAATAAAGGGAAATGAATTAATCCGTTCCTGACTACCCCAAAAACCCCACATCAAACTAAATTTTTATACCTAATTTACCTAATTCATCTAAATAAACCTACAAAACTGTGTTCCAGTTATTACTTACCTTGCTGTCGAGTGCTGTAGGCGTATGGAAGATGGTGAGGAGGGGGAGGAGGAGAGGAGTTACTGTTTGGAAGGGGAGTCCCCTTCCATAATCACATCACATAACCCCATGCCTTGTAACACTATGGATACCACTTCTCTTTCTAAATTTTTCAAACCAGCCCCTGCTTGCCTTAAACTCTTTCTTATCTGCATCACTCGTTGCAGGGGTATTCTTTAGAAGGTCTCCGTGCAACACCCTGGCTTTCTCACAAATAATGGCCTCCGAAACACTATCACCCCTCAACTCCTTGTCGTGTATCCAAATTAATAACAACTTTTCCACTTCTTCAAGTATTTGTGGTCTTTGTGCCGTTAATGTTCTTACTCCTTTTGCCACTTTAGCACCCATAATCTTATTTTTCTTCTTAAGTATAGTGCATATTGTTGATGTGGCTTTGTTGTACTGCCTACAAAGTTCAACAACACGTGTACCGTTCTCATGCTTCCGAATGATCTCTTGTTTCTCCTCTATTGTCATCCTCACATGAGCTTTCTGGCCTTTATCCTTACCACTGGCTTTCTTGGGACCCATGGTGAGATATATAATAACAAATTGTATAGACAAATCACCAAAAATCCAACAAAACACTGAAAATCCGCGAGAAGAATTGATGTGGGGGTAGTCACTGAGCGCGAGACAATAATAAACTGAGGGGCGGAGGGGCGACGAACGCGCTAGGTCGGCTGTACGCGTATCAACAAACTCGCGTCCAAACTCGCCTCCCGAAGTAACCCTCGCCTTCTGAGACAAATTTTTGGAGTAAATACACCTCGCCTTCCGAAAATCTCGCATACAGGGACAATCGCATTCCGAGGTACCACTGTACTGTACAGGTATCGGATGTTACCCTAACCCCAACATTGAACCATATACTGTACAGGTATCGGGTGTTACCCTAGCCCCACTGGACTTTAAATTAGCAATAGACAGCATGCCCTGCACTCTGCACCATGCCCAGACTCCCAAAATTCTATATTCATCAAGAAGTGCAAAACACCATCACATGCCCTAAACATGTTTTGGAAATGGAGCCTAGATATGACATATGTACTTAAAACAGCAGAGATAAGGGCAGTACTTACTGGGCACCTAGGGAAGGAAACTCTAGGTGCATGCAGCCTGAGTACTGTAGAATATTACTCCTGGCTCACACACCACCTGTAGAGACAGACCATGCCACAAGGCACAGAAATTGAAACCAAAGCAGGAGTCAGAGGCACATGACCTGTCAGAATCACATCAGCCAAGAACTGGTGGTTGGATCGCCAGCGCGAGGGTCTGGGGCTCCCCTCTTCCCCCTCCCGGGGAGGGGGGTTGCACAGACAGCGGCACTGCAATATGATGACGTCATGCTCGTTTGCTAATTTTCGTTTGGGGAGTTCTGTCCACTTGTTCGGTTTTCGGTAGCAATAGTTTCACCTGAATAGGGATTTGTTTTGGGGTGCCTACCCTTCTGGGTGCCAAACCCCTTCAATGGCAGACATAGAATGCTCCCAACCACTTTTTTTTTTTTTTTTTTTTATAGGCCATTGCTCCTCGTGCCTCTCTGAAGGGGCCAGGTTCTGGCCGTGGTCCCTGGTAGGCAAGAACTCCATGCACATTGATTGATGCCAGAAAGTTATACATATCCATATCAGCCTGGATAGCTCCGGGAAGCTGACGGAGCTCCCCACAGAAAAGCTTAGATACAGGGGGGAGATAACAAAAGCAATTTCTTCAACCGATATAGCTCCCCTACACAAGGGAGGGAGCAAAGCATTGGCAAAAGATTATAGACCAGTTGCACTAACATCATGCACACAGTTTTTGAAAGAGTGAGCAGGAGTCAGAGCTTCAGTTTTATGGGGGAACTGACCTTCATAATCCAGGTCAACGTGGATTTAGAGCTGGAAGATAATGCCTTTCATAGTTACTTGAAAACTTGGGGTCTGTATTATCTGAGCCTGCCTCAAGACTTATCATATAGCTGCCAATTTTCAGGCTCATTTTTCCTGTATTCATGGATTGCTACATTGTTCTATTTTATGCCCTGGCATTGGCTCCTATTCTGTTTAGGGACTCGGAGTTGGAGGGGGTTTGCGAATTCCATCTTCAGTAAGAATTGCATTTTTTCCTTCCTTGGCTGCTGTGGTTTGTCTAATGTCTGGTTCCCCCCTCCCATCCCCCTGGTTCGGGCTCGGAAACACTTGAGGATTTTGGAGTCAGCTCAGGGTTCAGCTTTGGAGGTAGTTGGCCACTAAGCTCATGGAGGGTCTGAGAGTGCATTTAACCACTCCAGGACTTAAATTTCCATCTGTTGATGAGGGTATTTTGCTCCAGGGAAGAACTTTATTTGTATAGGGTGTTTTATGTAGCTTGAGGGCACCAGTCCCCCCAGCCACAGGGCTTGGCGAAAAGGTACCCCTAAGCATACCTAATTCCCTATCAAACACAAACTAAAATACACAAAAATGGCAGATTTCATCACAACCCACAAGAGTTAAGATGATATTAATAACACACAATACTAACATGAAAATAACATACACAAAATGGAAAATTCTTTTGTATTTGTTTTTTTTATATGGGACACGGCACACAAAGTGAGAGGAGTAGTCGGCCGCTTCCCCCTCATCCTCCTCCTGTTCCACCCCTCCCCCCTCCACTTCCACCCCTCCCCCATCCACTTCCACCCCCCTTTCCCATCCACCCCTTCCCATCCACCCCTTCCCTGGATAGTTCTTTCATCTGCCATTTGGTTTCATGGAAATGTCTTATATCTAGAAGTTCCCATTGTCCCACCTTTTGTCTCTTTTGACATAAGTGGACATTTTTTGGTTCCTCCTGCAGGATCAAGCCCTTGCTTCTGCTTTTTGGCTGTGGGAAGAGGTCCCCGATTCATTCTGGTTTGCTGACAATCTTCTTTCCTTGAAGACTTGGCAAGGCTTCTGTCGAACCTGAGCACTTGAGTAGCAGAAAGCGAGTTCCATCTTTCAGATGTTCATGAGCAGTGCTGCTTTTGTATTACCTTAGAACTGCTTGTTTGTTCCAGTGGGCAAGTGGCAGCTCTATATTCAGCTACCTATGCACTGTGGAGCCTTTACTGTGAAGTATCACAGAACTTGGACCCACCTGGTGGCCATTTTGCACATCTGGGTAGTTATTGAGCTGTTCTCAGAAGCTCTATGATGGCTTTGTGGTTCCGGTGCCTGTCCCTGGTGTGGCTGCTTTGCTGCATGTGGTTACAACTTCAGCAGCTCTGTTGAAGCTGCTCGCTCCCTCCCTCGGGAGGCTGTGGCGCTTTTATACTTAGCCTGTCTTGCAGGTTATGCTGGACCTGTCATTGGATTCAATCATATCCTTAGTCCTTTTGTTTGCCTCCCTCTTCTTTTTACAGAGGAGATTGTGATTGCTGTTACCTTTTGGCCACTCAGTTTCTTCTGCAGAGGGGTTCTGTGCCCTCTTTTTGGAGGTGATCTGCCAGGATTGTGGCCTTCCCTGTTGTTAGTAGGGGTAGGCTTTAGTTGGAATCAGATTCCTGGGCCTTTGCACTTCCTTTAGCTGATGCCGTCTTTCTTGATGTCACAACTGTGCATCATGGAAGGATGGCTCTGCACTGTCGTTTTGTGGTTTGTCGCCATTTGATATCACTGTGGAAGGCCATCTCGCCCATTTTGCCTGTTCCTGGTCCCATAATACTGGGTATGTGGGCTTATTGAGTAGTTTTCATTAGTCCATTCATTCGATTCATTCCCCCCTCCCCTGTCCACTCCCGTTTCCCTTAAGTTCAGTGATTTTCAATAAGGCATCTTCTCTTCAGCTCTGCTTTCATTGTGGTGTAGCTGGACTCGGATGTGGGAGAGATAATCTCCTTTTTGAAGGATGTTCCAGTTAGTTGTTCCTGGTCCTCAGTTGAGATTTGGTGGAGCTACTGTACATTTTTGACCTCAGGATTGACCAGCTTCTTTACATGACCACTTCAGCTCAGGTTTGCCTGGTGTTTCAGGCTGATTCCTGGATGGTGTCCCTGAACCTCAAGGTTACATGCTGGCACATTTCTATTCATCCAAGGGTCCAGGACTGATTATGGTTTCTTGTGGGGTGTCAAGCTTACTGCATTAAGGGTCTGCCCTTGGGCTTGAGTCTGACTCCTCGTATCTTTACCTGGTAAGTGCATGAAGTTGTGACTGGCTACATCTCGTGGGGTTTGTGTTTTGACCTTTATCAATGGTCCTGGGATCGATCCCAGGCGCCGACGAGAAACAATGGGCAGAGTTTCTTTCACCCTATGCCCCTGTTACCTAGCAGTAAAATAGGTACCTGGGTGTTAGTCAGCTGTCACGGGCTGCTTCCTGGGGGTGGAGGCCTGGTCGAGGACCGGGCCGCGGGGACACTAAAAACCCCCGAAATCATCTCTAGATAACCTCAAGAATGATTAGGTCAAAAATAGCTCGGAGAAATAGCTTCAAGGAGCTACTGGGGCTCGACCAGAAAGAAGCATTTTTATTACATTTAATGCTTTTTTTTATTAACGACTTTGAATGCACAAATACAGTATTTATTTACTGCTCTGATTACTGGGTAAGTAGTTCTTTCATTTTTCTAGTAGGAAATTTTGCCACTTAGAATGACTTTTTGCTTACATTGTTTACAAAATATTAATTGTACGCACGCACACACAGGTATATGAAGAGACATCTGGTGTAACTGTTGGTGATCCAGTGTTGAAAACTGGAAAGCCTCTGTCTGTGGAGTTGGGCCCTGGAATAATGGGTAACATCTATGATGGTATCCAGCGTCCACTGCAGGAGATTTGTGACCTCACACAGTCTATCTACATTCCTAAGGGTGTCTCTACGCCTGCTCTCTCTCGTTCCAAGATGTGGGAATTTATACCGGAGCGGACTGTTAAGGTTAGTATTTTAAAAATTCTCCCATTATTGCCTTGCAGTTAAATGTAACCTGGAAATTTGGTAAGATTTGTAAAAATTACAATAGTTTTGCTATTTTTATGTAGGGATAAAGTGTTTTATTCAAAAAGATTCGCTAGATGAGAGCATTAACAATCATATTACGGATAAAGACATGAAGGAATAAAGAAAATTGGGCGAGATTATAGCTTAAAGTGCTTAGGAAATTGCCTTGTTTCACCTTGGAGTTTCACCTTGGAGTTTCACCTTGGGGTTTCACCTTGGGGTTTCACCTTGGAGTTTCACCTTGGGGTTTCACCTTGGGGTTTCACCTTGGGGTTTCACCTTGGGGTTTCACCTTGGGGTTTCACCTTGGGGTTTCACCTTGGGGTTTCACCTTGGGGTTTCACCTTGGGGTTTCACCTTGGAGTTTCACCTTGGAGTTTCACCTTGGGGTTTCACCTTGGAGTTTCACCTTGGAGCTTCACCTTGGGGCTTCACCTTGGGGCTTCACCTTGGGGCTTCACCTTGGGGCTTCACCTTGGGGCTTCACCTTGGGGCTTCACCTTGGGTTTTGAGAGGAAATGCGATTTGAGCTCGGCATTCTACTTCAATTGATTTTTCAGTCATCTTTGTGTTCAAGAGTCATGGCAGATATGGAAAAAGGCTAACATATTCCAATCAATAAAAAATGGTAGCAGGAAAGACTCTTAGTTATAGATCTAATCATTGATAAGTGTAGCAGTCAAAATATAAGTCTTTGCTAACATAAACTTGCTCTGTTAGGCTTTAGCTTGCAACAGCCTGTAGGGCCACTATCCACTACAATGCAGGCTGTCTGGCACTATCTACGTACTTGTACATTGCCTATTGATAACCTCTACTTTTGTTCCAGCAATATTTCATATACTTGGTAGAAGGAAATTTGCAAATATTGTACAAGAAATAATGCCAGAAAAAAATGAATGTTTTCACAAGGCAATTAGATACATTGCTGCAGGAAAAGTCAAACCAGCTGTGCTGTAGGGCCTGAATGCCACTGCAAGAACAACCTGACAAAGTTATCACCAGACAAGCTTAGCTCCTAGTCCAGACTTGAAGAGAAGAGCTTTTGAAACAAGCTACAGGCAAGACTACAGAATGTGGCACTATGGATTGCTGTCCCTCAAACTAGACCTTGTGGCTTGGCTCGGGCAAGGGTGTGGGGGAGGCAGAGGAGGACCAAAAACCAGCGTTCAGGCTGTCCAATTAAACGGAGGCTGAAGAGCAAGACTGTAGCTGTAGTGTGACTGCATGGGTTTTTACCTTAAACATGTGTACCTCTTTTCTATCTTACTCTTGTATCTTGGGAGAAATGTTCCCAGTCTCCAAAAAGGCAGGAAATGAATGATGATTAGAATATTTACCTAAATTTTATAATAGTGTTGTGAAAGTATGACTACTTTCATTTTGTCTAAATTTTGCTCCCATCTCACAGGTTGGAAGTCACATCACTGGAGGTGACATCTTTGGTATGGTACATGAAAACTCTATCATTGACCATAGAATAGTTCTGCCACCAAAAGCTCGTGGAACAGTTACATACCTTGCTGCTCCAGGCAACTACACTGTGGATGAATCAGTGCTGGAGGTAGAGTTTGATGGAGAGAAGCACAAGTACTCCATGATGCAGGTAAGACATACAAAAGTTTATAAAATTGTCTTGGTACAACCTTAGGATGATGATAACTATTTGTAGATATAAATGAAGAACAGTGTCTGTTCTTCGTAAGTTCCCAAATATATCTATAGTTTGAATATTTACTATTTTAGTGCTAAAGATTCTTTCTTGAATGGTCTTATTTTAACACTGCCACTGTTTGGTTAATCAGTTTATTTACAGTTTAAAATATTGTGATGCTTTTAACTCAGAATAAGGAAACTTTATAAGGGATATTCTGTCTAAGAATTATAGAAGAGTTTTATTAACTATAACATGCTCTGGTAATGAAATTTTTCATGAAAAGGGAAGCCATTTTATTGGTACAATAAATTTCCATCACTAACCTCAAATTCAGTTCACATTTTGTGATTGTTGTGGTAATTGATTTCTGGTAGCATCAGATTCTACCAGTAGAAACTAGAATTAAGATTTTAAATTTTTAACTTGTTACAATGGATCCTCAGTGTAAAGAACCACACTAACGAATTCCTGGATGGTCTAAACAGTTTGTGCTCTGTGCAAATTGTTCAGTGGAATCAAAATGTTCAATTAAGTGAGGCTTGTTCGCTGTGAGCCGCTGCCAAGGCCAGGTGTTGGGATACATCTGTGCTAGCAGTATTCACCAAATCCAAGTGTAAATTATTGGACAGTGCTGGCCCTCTGGTAGCTTGGGGTGCCACCTGGTGCTGGTATGGGTAGTCAACTTAGTGGGAATTAGGTTGTTCTGAACTGTTTAGCGATTAGAGAGTTGTAAATATTTTTCTCGTAGGAGCGTCTAGTCTTTGTAGTGTTTTCTTTTGTGGCAGTTAAAGGTTAACTGTTGGTTTGATGTTGGATCTCATGAGTTTCCAAGTCACAATTGAGAAAGATCATTGTAATCTCTCGCTAGCGCGCACACAATTTTTGCCCGTATGCAAAGATGGAGCATTGTTAAAATATAACACAGCAATCATGTTCACATTCGGGTGATAAGTAAGTCTTTCGTAAGTCTTTCAGCTTGTGTGATAAGTGAAGGTTTATCATGGTTTTCTTTTGTTACAGGAGAGAAGTGGCAATGTTATTGAATAATTTTCTGGGGGGAGCCCCGTCGGCTCCCCGGAGCTTTACCGGCTGATATGCTAATGTCAGACTTTGGCATCAGTCATGTGTATGGAGTTCTAGGGCCTACCGGGGACCACGAGCCAGAACCTGGCCCCCTCAGAGAGGCAAGGGGAGCAATGGCCTATAGAAACCCCCGTGTGGTTGGAAGCATTCTATGTCTGCCATCGACCGGGTCAAGCATCCAGAAAGGTAAGCATTCCAAAACAAACCCCTATTCTGGTGAAAATTGCTACCTAAGCCGAACTAGTGAATAGAACTCTTCAACAGAAAACACGGAAACTAGTATGACGTCATACGTCACCGCGCCGCTGTCTGCGCAGCTCCCCCCTCCCCGGGAGGGGGAAGGGGGAGCCCCAGACCTCCCACGCCGGCTATCCACCCATCAGTTCTTCGGCTGATGCTATAGGCAATGGTTATGTGCTCCGGCTCCAGTGGTTGTTTCAGCACTGTACCTAGAGTGTGGTGTCTGTTTTCTAGGTGGTGCGTGAGCCGGGTGTGATTCTTCAGTACTCGGGCTGCATGCGCATAGGGTTCCCTTCCCTAGGTGCCCTGTAAGTACTGCCCTTGGGGCTTGGGGCCACCTTCCACAAGTTCCTTGGGTCCTGCCCCTGCTTGGCCGTTTACCGCTTGGTTTTCGGCCGCTCTTTGTGTGCTCGGGTGTTCTGTCTCCCTTGTTCGCCTTAGAGTAAGGGGCAGTGTTTGCACTGGTGGGGCGCGGGGTACTGTGCAGCTTGTCTTTACCAATCATAGCGGCCGGCTCTGTTCCGCTTGGGTACGCTGTCCTCTTGCGGGGTTTTCTTTTTCTTTTGTTTATATACCTGGTGGGGGGGTCTGCCTTCGTTCTTGCCCCTTGTGTCCCTTGTGTTCTGAGTATTTCTGGTGGTACCCCCTGCTAGGTCCCCGTGAGTGTACACGTCCCGGGGGTTCAGCTCTTAGAAAGTTGTTTGGTAGCTTGGGTGCCGGTTAGCAGTACCCTGCCTGGGATTACCTGAGCGCGAGTCCTCTTAAAGTAAACGCTCGGGACCCTGGGAAACCCCTGGGGGCGCGCGGGTCCGATGGATGTGACCCCAGAGCCCCCCCCTCGCTTCCAGCGAGTTTGAGGGTTGCTCTCACCTTTTGTCTCTGGGTGACTCTCTGTTTTGCCTCCGTCTGCTGCCTGTGGGGTCGGTGACACCTTCGACCCGGTGTCCTGCGAGTTTGGTTGCTCGTTGTGGCTCGGTTACCCAGTTGTGCTAACAAAGCGGGTGCGGGCAGCAGGGGCGTTGCACTTGAGCCTTGGTGGTGGCAACGTTCTCGTGGTTTCCTCCCCGGGAGCCCCGGGGCTGCCCCGTTGTATTTCGTTTTTCCCCTGGTTCACCCTTCCTGCCTGCATCCGGTTCCTTACCGTCTGTAGGTTCAGGGCGGGGTGTTTGGTGGTGTTGAGACTCGGGCAGTCTCGGGGAATTCCCCTTCCGGGGTAGTGACGGGGGCATTTGGGCCTGTTCCTCCAGCCGTGTTGTATGAGTCTGCCAGTGGGCTCCCTTCCTTAGTGTTTTCACGGCTGCCCCGGTTTTCTGGTACGGCCGGGGCTTTGGGGGAACGGCTCGGCCCCGGGGCCTGTCGTGTAGGTTCCCGGGGCTGGGGAGGGGCTGACTTGGGGGGCCTTGGCCCCGTTAGACCCCGTGGGGGGTTTTATCCCCCTCTAGGCGGGGCTTGTGGTTACGCGGAGTGGGGTTTTTCCTCCCCACTCGCCGTACGTGCTGTTGGACGTCGGCCCCTCCCCGGGCTCGGTTCCTTGGCCTTTGAGTCGGTTGGTTCCGTCCTGTGGGTGGATGTTTCCTCCCCCGCTTTTTGGGACGGTGTTTTTGTCATGTTTCCCCGTTCGATGGGGTTCTGCGTGACTTTTGATCTCGGGTGCGCCTGCGCCTTCGTGTGCCTTCGGGACTAGTGTTGGCTTCTGTGTTCTCGAGGGTACGGGAAGGTTTTTCGCTACTTCCCGCATTATTGGAACGTCTGTCGGCTCCTAGTACTTGTCGCCCTGTTGGGCTACTTGTCGCCCTGTTGGGCTACTTGTCGCCCTGTTGGGCTACTTGTCGCCCTGTTGGGCTACTTGTCGCCCTGTTGGGCTACTTGTCGCCCTGTTGGGCTACTTGTCGCCCTGTTGGGCTACTTGTCGCCCGGTTGGGCTACTTGTCGCCCGGTTGGGCTACTTGTCGGCCGTTTGGGCTACTTGTCGCCCGTTTGGGCTACTTGTCGCCCGTTTGGGTTCCCTTTTTTTGGGCTCTTTGCTTCTTTGGCCGGTTTTCTTGTTCCTGCTTCCTCTTTTGGCTCTTTTTCTCGTGCAATAGTCCTGGCTGGCGCCTTCCCGCAGGGAGGGTGTGCGGTTCGGCCAGCGTGTTATGCGCATGCGCCGTGGAGTTTGTTTTGGTCTGGGCGATGGTTCAGTGCTGGGGTTTTGCGCCCTTTTTTGCTACAGTGCTTCGCCTCTCGTTCTTCTCCCTGGCTGCGGTATGTGCCCCTTTGCGCCAGGGGTGTCCTGGTTCCCAGTTGGGGGGAGGACACCGCGGTTTTCTGTGTCATGGGTGTGGACCGCCTCCTTCGCCTCTCCCTGTTCTCCTGCGGGTCCGGCTCTGGCGTCTTCACCTGGCGGTGCTCCCAAGTTCTTCTGGGCACGGTTGAGTCGTGTCAAGTTCGAGCCACCATTCGCCAGGTGAGTTTCTGCGGTCTGGCGTCTTTTGGCCGGGCGCTGGATGCGGCGGTGTTCATATACCTGTCTTTATTTAGGTATAATTTTGTACGACTGAGACCGTTCGCACACCAGTGACTGTCCCTTTATCACCCCTTCCTGTCCCCCTCCTGTGCATGTCCAACCCATGCTACAGTCGTTCAGGGGACCCTCCTTTTTTAATGTTGTGAGGTGTGGGGGTTGTAGGGTTGGTTCTGTACTCACCTGGTGAGGCTCCTGGCTGTGCTTGCAGGATTTGAGCTCTGGCTCTTGGGTCCCGCCTATCTGGTAGAACTTGCGGGATAGTACCAGTGGAGTGCAGTGGTGCTATTGGCACTTTTGGGGAACACTGTATTACCATCAGTGGTCTGTGCTTGTTACACGACCTACTTGCGAGCATAAGCCTTCTTGCTGGTTCGTCCGTGGACTTCCAGGGCGCACTGGCCTGTTTTCGTATGGCAGTTCCGGCCCGTCCTGGTTGTGGGGGTATGTGGGCCGGTGGACTGCTCCTAGCAGCTGCCTGGTGGGCCATCCTCTGGCCGGTCTGGCCTGACCTTGGGCCGGGCTTGAGGTGTAAAAGAGCTCCCAGTACCTCATCCAGCAGGTATCGAGCGGGGTTTCTCCGCCGTCGGTCGCCTGGTGCAGGTTTCTGGGCCTGCAGGGTTTTGTCGTGTCTCCGTTGGCCCTGTCTGGGGTCTGCCTGCTCCGTTCTCTGCCTTTGCAGAGGGGAGTTGCTATTTACATGTTGCATGTTGCAGTGGTGCCTGTTGCTGCTGCTGCTGCACGTGAGCATTGGTACCGTGTTTCACGGTGGCGTGTCCTTGTTCCTGTGTCCGGTTGTGGAGTGGCGCTTTGCTGCCGTTTTGTGCCTGGGGATTGCGTGGGGTTTTTGTCCCTGCCTGATTGTTCACCCCTGGTTGTTCTCCTGGTTTTTTTTTTTTTTTTTTTTTTTTTGTGCTTCTGCTCTTTCTTCCTGCCTCTTCTGCAGCAGGAATGTTCTGCGTGTGTTCTTAGGCGTTGGTCAGCCTGTGTCCTGTGATGTGCTTCTTTGTTTCGGTCTGTTGCAGTTGTTCGGGCCCCTTGGTTCGGGTCCTGTTCTGGCGGCGACCCTTCCGCCTTCTTTGGTTTTCCTAGCTTGCCCTGCCGGTTGTTGTTGTTGTTTTATTTTTTTTGGGGGGGTTCTTGCGATGTCTCGCGTCGGACCCGTCGTTTCTGAACTCCTGGCGGGCTTGCATGCTTCGGAGTTTTTCTGTTCGGCAGACGTTCCATCTCCTTGTGCCGCCTGGGTTTCGGTGGTCGCGCCCGAGATCTTCTCGCGGCTCCGCCTTTTTCCTGGGCTCGGGGGGGCCTTGTCGGGGCTGCTTATGTTCTGCCTCGTGGTCTCGCCTCCGGTTGGTGGTCGGGTGGCTTCGTGGTAGGTGTCCCACCTGCGTGCTTCTTGGCGGCAGTATGGGGTATTTTGGCGGTCCTTCCTTTTCCTGTCCCTTCTTCGGTGGGTCCTTCTTGTTGGCTTGGTTTACTCTCGGCTTGGTTTTCTAGTGGGGGTTGGGGGCCGTCGTCTTGCCACATACTGTCGCCTCTTTTCGTGCGGCGCAGGCGGAGCCGCTTCAGCTTGCTTTCGGTCTTGGTGTTGCTTCTGCACCGTTAGTCAGCTGTCTTGTGCGTCATTTCACCTCCGGCCTGTTCGTGCGCCGCTTGCACCATCCTGGTCTCTGGTCAGCGTGCTCTGTCTTCTCCTCGGTTGGTAGTGCCCCTTCGGTTCCGGTGTGTTTTTCGTCGGCTCTTTCCTTTGGGCCTTTGCCTCTGGGGGTCGGTTCGCTGTGTTTTCTTGCTCCTTCGGTTTTAGCGTTTTCGTTGTTTGATGGCAGCAGTCTCCATCTTTTCTGGCGCGGGGTGGGGCTGCTGCATTCTGGAGGGGTCCAGGGTTTGTTGGTGCTTTGTTGGTCGGGCCGGGGGTGTGTCGTTTTTGTGTTCAGTGGCGGCCCTCTGCTGTTGTTTGCGTGCCACGGCGTTTGGGTCCGGAGCGCGTTTTGCGTTGATCCGGTTCTGTTCTTCCCGGTTCGCGGGTGATGGTGTCCCGGGTGGTCAGCCGTGTTCTTGTGGCTAAGCTGCCTGTGTTCTTCCCTTATGCCTGTGGCGTTCGTGGCTTCGCTGCTCTCGCTGCCGTCTGGGCGACGTGGCCTTGCAGTCTTTCGGGCATGGATTTTTGGTGTTCGTGCAGGGGCCTTGCTGCTCGTGGTTCTCGTGTTGTTCCCGGGATTTTCGGGGCTGTGGCGCCTTGGGTTGGCGTTTGCTGCCGGTTGTCTCGCCTCCTTGGGGGGTGCGTGGTGTCCGCCTCCCGGTTTTGTCCCTTTGACCTTCCTCTGTGGGTAGTTAGCTCCGGGGAGCCGACGGGGCTCCCCCCAGAAAACCAGCGTTGAATGTAATGAAACGCCATTTTCTGGGTGAGACCCGGAGGCTCCCCGGCAACCCTCCCTCCCTCCGGTCGGCGTTTTTCGCGTGTTTTGACATCCAGCCTCAGAACTGATGGGTGGATAGCCGGCGTGGGAGGTCTGGGGCTCCCCCTTCCCCCTCCCGGGGAGGGGGGAGCTGCGCAGACAGCGGCGCGGTGACGTATGACGTCATACTAGTTTCCGTGTTTTCTGTTGAAGAGTTCTATTCACTAGTTCGGCTTAGGTAGCAATTTTCACCAGAATAGGGGTTTGTTTTGGAATGCTTACCTTTCTGGATGCTTGACCCGGTCGATGGCAGACATAGAATGCTTCCAACCACACGGGGGTTTCTATAGGCCATTGCTCCCCTTGCCTCTCTGAGGGGGCCAGGTTCTGGCTCGTGGTCCCCGGTAGGCCCTAGAACTCCATACACATGTAAAGCTCCGGGGAGCCTCCGGGTCTCACCCAGAAAATGGCGTTTCATTACATTCAACGCTGGTTTTTTGTTTAACTAACTGAAAATAAAGCAGAAGTTTTAGTGAATTAACATCTGGGGAAAATCAAAATCTTTTCTAAATAAACATTCACTTGCTGCACTTGATCACTATACTTGATCACTATACTGTACTATGATCAAGTTGGACTTGATCACTACTGTACTATGATCAAGTTGGACTTGACTATACTGTACTATGATCAAGTTGGACTTGATCACTATACTGACTTGATCAAGTTGGACTATACTTGATCACTATACTGTACTATGATCAAGTTGGACTTGATCACTATACTGCACACTGCTTGATATACAAAACTGTATAATGTAGAAGGAATAATAAAATATTTTAGCATACATCTTCATTTTGCTTTTGGTATTTTGCTTTACTTGGGTTTAGAAATAGTTAGTGGTAGGCTACAAATATTACTAATAAAGTACTGGAGTGTAAATATGTCTCTGCAGTTTCTTACATGTCATAATTTTAAAATAAATTAAACAAATGTTAAAAAATATTACAGGTATGGCCGGTGCGTCAACCACGACCAGTGAGTGAGAAACTGCATGCAAATCACCCCTTGTTAACTGGGCAGCGAGTTTTGGATTCTCTCTTCCCCTGTGTCCTGGGAGGAACCACGGCTATCCCTGGTGCTTTTGGTTGTGGAAAGACTTGCATTTCTCAGGCATTGTCCAAGTACTCCAATTCCAATGTGATTATCTATGTGGGATGTGGAGAGCGAGGAAACGAGATGGCTGAGGTAGGTATCCAATGGTTTACAGTATTTTCTGTGTAACAATAACGTCACTCTGGACACGGTACTAGTGAACTGTTGGTCTATTTTAACTGGTTACTCTGAAGGTGATCTGGAAAGTTGTTCTAAGGGACAGATTTATATTTTTATAGAAATATGTAATGATGTAAAACAGATTTGCTAAGTCTGACTTAGGTTAAGGTATATTGTAAAGTATAACAATGATTTTTTTCTTGTATTTTTGTTGTTCATGCTCTAGTAGGGTGCATGTGTAAGTACTACATTGCAATGGTGTATGTATAAACCAATCGAACCAATTGAACCAATTGGTTCAATTGGAAGCAATTGGAACTGAATTATACCAACCAATAGCAATTGGTTTGTACGCTGGAATCAATCGTATTGGCGTTTGCCTTTCCATTGGAGACTTACGGCGCCGTGGAGAGGGGGAAACTTGCTGCATGGGTAACAGCTTCTCCTCCGTATCAACCTACCCTGGCTTTGCGCCCTAGAGAGGCCACTCCAGACCAACAACGAGAGCGTAACTCCAGTCTCCTGAGACTGATGGATGCCTACTGTGTATAATTACATGTATAACTACCTAAGTGTAGTTAGAAGATGAGAGCTATGCTTGTGGTGTCCTATTATCTCTATAATCTTTGTCATGTGCCACTTTGAAACTTGTGATGGTTTTGGCAGTCACTGCCTTCTCCCTTGTTCCAACCATCTATATCTCTGCAATAGATAATTTCTGTTTTTTGTCAGCTCCTTTGCTTCCATGGTTTGAATCAATTCTTTAAGTTGCAGGTTTAAACAATTCCTTGTCTATTTTGTTTTGTTCAGTCCTTACACTGCTTTGTGCATAGTGCTCATATCACCATTTTTCCTCCTAACTTGTAGCTTTGGCATATTTAACACCTCTCACCTCTTCTCGTAGCTCATGTCTTTCAGTTCCGGAAGCCATTTAGTAGCATGTCTTTGCACATTTTCTATATATTCATGTGCCCTTTGAGATAAGCACCATACAACTACTATATAATTCACTTTTGATATTATGAATGCTATGGACAATATCTTCATTAATTCCCAATCTATGCGTTTAAGAGATTCAGAAATTCACAAGTATAGCATAGGCACCTCTCTCAATACCTTCGATGTGGTTCTCTGGGGACAGTTTACTATCCATAACCATAACCAGGTTAGGGGGGCCTGACGGCGGAGTGTACAGCACTCGGGATTCATAATCCTGAGGTTCCGGGTTCAATTCCCGGTGGAGGCGGAGACAAATGGGCAGAGTTTCTTTCACCCTGATGCCGCTGTTCACCTAGCAGTAAATGGGTACCTAAGAGTTACAGCTGCTACGGGCTGCTTCCTGGGGTTGTGTAACAAAAAGAAGGCCTGGTTGAGGATCAGGCCGCAGGAACGCTAAACCCCGAAATCATCTTGAGATAAGTTAACCCATAGGTCTATTTGTCAAAGTTGTTTAGCATTTTTTTTATAGTTTATTCCAGTTGGTTAAATGTAGTTTTTTTGTCCTATTTCACATTGTCTTCCTTTGATAGGTCTCTTCTTTATGACCAGTTTCCCCATCCTTATCATAAATGTTTTGGCATTTTTTGAGCACTTCTGCCACTTATATTTAGCTCCATTTAGGGTCACCCTTAACCATTGGGGTGTGCATTTCCCTCTTAAAATATTTCAAGAAAAATGGTTCCTTCTGTGCAAATGAGTTAAACTTTTTAAACAAATTTTATGTTCTTCTTTGGATAGGAAGAATTTCAAATTAATTAAATTCTGATACTAATATCAGTTCCTAAAATTTGGATTGTGTTACTCCTTCATTTAATGTTTCTTTTCAGTTTGAATCTGGGTTAACAAAATAAATATGGGTGACTGAAGGAAAACACTAAAAATAGTATCTACCCTAATACTGTACGGTTTTTTTAATTAATATTTTTGGCTACAATGGTGCTACATGCTCCAAAATTCCTCTCAACTATTGTTTGTTAAATAAAAATGTATAACTTTTTAGGTAATAATAGCTAGATATATCAAATCATAGTAATTATAAAGATTTTTAAGCAAAACTCAACTTGCTTAGTTTTATAGCAAGTGATAGTGATGTGACTGATGCTTGAGTCTAGTTGAACTAAAATAAGCGCTGTGACATATGACATAAGTCGGTGTCCAAGGATTGAGGGGCGAATCTTCCTCTTCACACATCTACTGATTCTGCTCTAGTCAAAACATTGTCTTCCGTACACATATTTATGGGGCCTGACAGCCGAGTGAGTGAACAGCGCTCGGGATTCATATTCCTGAGATTCCAGGGTCGATCCCCGGCGTAGGCAGAAACAAATGGGCAGAGTTTTTCACCCTGATGCCCCTGTACACCTAGCAGTAAATAGGTAACTGGGAGTTAGACAGCTGTTACAGGCTGCTTACTGTAATTACCTAAGTGTAGTTACAGGACGAGAGCTATGCTCGTGGTGTCCCGTCTACCCAGTACTCTTTGTCATATAACGCTTTAAAACTTTGTGTGTTTTTGTGTGGTTGAGGGGGGGGGGGAGGATAAAAACAAAAATCAGTTGATTGATTGACAGTTTAGAGGTGGGCCCAAAGAGACGGAGCTCAACCCCCGCAAGCACAACTAGGTGTGTACACAGAAATCACAATAACATGATATATAAAATGAACAAATCCACAAAGGCCGTGATTAGGGGTTCGAGCATAGGTTCGAACCCTCATCACGGCCCTTTTGGATTTGTTCATTGTTTTCAATTGTAAAACATTCCACTAATCCAAAAGTTTTATAAATTGTTACTACTTCTGTGTCTCTTTCTAACCTAGATGTTGCCTCATTTTCTTGGCCTCAAAAACTTGTTAGGCACTTGTTTTTCTGTCTTGTGCCAGTTGTGTATTTGTTGCCGACTCCTTTATACTTTTCTGTCTGAAAAACTCTGTTCACTTTGATTTCTGGCTTCCCTTTCCACTTTTTATATTGATTATTTTTCTCTGTATGCCTCGTACATATACATTTGTCTATACCTTGTATGTATACATTTGTCTGTATACCTGGTATGTATACATTTGTTTGTATACCTTGTACATATACATTTGTCTGTATACCTTGTTTATATACATTTGTCTGTATGCCTTGTATGTATACATTTGTCTGTATACCTTGTACATGTACATTTCTATGTCTGTATACCTTGTACATATACATTTGTCTTGTGTAATTCCTCCATGTAAACTGACCAAATATCTTTCCTCTATTGGATGATACAATGGATATTCCTACCTAACTTCTTGTAAGGTGCTGTCTAGATTTGACCTGGCACTTTTCCTTTTTTTTTCTTAGTTTTCTTTCTCCATGGTTTTTCTTTTAGCTTGACAGAGCTCTATTTTTTCCCCTTCATTAATTTCCTAATTTTACCTTTCTGTTTTCAAAAAGTTTACTTCTAGGTTAGTGGCATTCTGATCCCTAACTTTAATGTACTGTATCATAACTGTACAATTATTTATTATATTTCCTTAGCTCGGAACCCTACATTTGTCAGCATTAAAGTGCATCTATTTTTTTTCTTCAATAGGTCTGAGATTCTTATGGCTAGGTTGATATTATCTTCAGTTACACTCAAGTGCTGTTCTGTATAATGGTAGTGATGCCCTGTGTATTCCTGTCGGACTGGTTGTTGATCCTTAGAAAGGCACAGTGGATCAATACTGTTTAACTGTTGGCATAATATTGCTCACAGGAAACTTTTCACTACCTCAAAAGCTTTTTTTTAATACTGTTGGCTGCAGTACCCATTTAGATAATTTTACTGTAATAAATTGTCACATAGTTCAGAGCTAAGCAACATATTAATTAAAAAATTATTCTAACAGGTATTGCGTGATTTCCCCGAGTTGGAGTTGGAGATCGATGGCAAGAAAGACTCTATCATGAAACGCACATCTCTTGTTGCCAATACATCCAACATGCCTGTAGCTGCACGAGAAGCTTCCATCTACACTGGCATCACGCTCTCGGAATACTTCCGTGACATGGGTCTCCATGTGTCCATGATGGCCGACTCTACCTCCCGTTGGGCTGAGGCTTTGCGTGAAATCTCTGGTAGACTGGCTGAGATGCCTGCTGATTCTGGTTATCCTGCATACTTGGGTGCTCGTCTGGCTTCTTTCTATGAACGTGCTGGTAGAGTCAAGTGTTTAGGCAACCCTGAGCGTGAAGGCTCGGTGACCATTGTGGGTGCAGTGTCTCCTCCTGGTGGTGACTTCTCCGATCCTGTAACTTCTGCCACACTTGGTATTGTACAGGTGTTCTGGGGTCTTGACAAGAAGCTGGCACAGCGTAAACATTTCCCCTCAGTCAACTGGCTTCAATCATACTCAAAGTACATGCGTGCTCTAGAGGAGTATTATGATGCAAACTATCCTGAATTTATTTCATACAGGTTTGTAACTTTTTATGTATTATTAACAAATAGTTTAATATTTTTCTGGTATGTTTTTATATTATGAAAACAGTATTTTTTTTTACTTATTGTAAAAATTATTGGAATTTTTGTTAATCAATTATATTTTTTCTTTAAGGACCAAAGTAAGAGAAATTCTGCAGGAGGAAGATGACCTGGCTGAGATTGTGCAGCTGGTAGGCAAGGCTTCACTCTCTGATGCTGACAAGATTACACTGGAGGTTGCCCGAATTATCAAGGATGACTTCCTCCAACAAAATTCTTACACTTCATATGATCGCTTTTGTCCATTCTACAAGACGGTCGGGATGATGAAAAATATTGTTGCCTTTTACGATATGTCGCGACAAATTGTCAACCGTACAGCGCAGAGTGACAATAAGGTAGGTCTTGGGTGGCATAATTAAACCATTTTTTTTATGGAGAAATTGTAATTTAATGGTATTTGGTAAAATTAAAATTTCTTTAATGCAAATATCGTACAAGGGACTTGTTTATTCAATGCCCGAATAATAGGTAAAGTGTATGGAATAGCACATACAACAGGAAGTTGTTGTTTATCTAATGGGTAATTTTTTAATTTGACATTGTATGGTGCTCTTTGATAGCATTTAAGGCATAACTTGTTACATTAGCATCCTTTAAGCTCATTTTTATTTTATCCTCTTATTATGGGTATTAGGGGAATGTGTGTTCATACATATATATATACAGAATATATATATATTTTTTTGTTCTGGTGTACTTTATTAGATATTTAAAGGCAGCAAGATGTACTGTTTTTCTGTGGTTGGCCGCCCCAACTGCTTGATCAGCACCAAAGTATATTTAGGTGTTAGTGAGGGTGGATACACATGTGTAGTCCCACACCAGCTGTTTGCCCCTTTTCTAGGGGTATATTGTGATGCCATCTGGCCAAAGTGCGGGGTCATCCGGGGTTTGGTCCCCTAGGATGCGAGGTTTTCTCTCTCTGCTGGGCACTGAGCTGAGACAAGGCTCCTCTTGATGTCAATGACCTCGTTGTGTCTTGCATGCTAGACCTTTGAGCTTCCGTAGTGCAATCCATGCAGTCCATATTGTTCTGCTTCCACCCTGTTGCAAATACAGTACACTTATATTCAGTGTGAATTGAAGCACCAAGGCGGAGGGGCACTGTTACACGCAGGTAACACGAAGGGAGCCGGTCGGCCAAGCGGACAGCACACTGGACTTGTGATCCTGTGGTCCCGGGTTCGATCCCGGGCGCTGGTGAGAAACAATGGGCAGAGTTTCTTTCACCCTATGCCCCTGTTACCTAGCAGTAAAATAGGTACCTGGGTGTTAGTCAGCTGTCACAGGCTGCTTCCTGGGGGTGGAGGCCTGGTCAAGGACCGGGCCGCGGGGACACTAAAGCCCCGAAATCATCTCAAGATCTCAAGGTATTCTGGATATAGACGTGTGCCTATTGCCGACATAGGTACTGCCAGAAAGAAGTCCCCTGCATGGGGGCAAGCACTGCCCCCATGCAGGGAATTTTATAAAATAAATATATATAAAAATGTGTGTGTGTGTATGTACTCACCTAGTTGTTCTCACCTACTTGTGCTTGCGGGGGTTGAGCTCTGTCTCTTTGGTCCTGCCTCTCAACTGTCACTCAACTGGTGTACAGATTCCTGAGCCTACTGGGCTCTATCATACTTATATTTGAAACTGTGTATGGAGTCAGCCTCCACCACATCACTTCCTAATGCATTCCATTTATTAACTACTCTGACACTGAAAAAATTCTTTCTAACGTCTCTGTGGCTCATCTGGGTACTAAGTTTCCACCTGTGTCCCCTTGTTCATGTTCCACCCTTGCTGAAGATTTTGCCTTTGTCCACCATGTCAATTCCCCTGAGAATTCTTCTTCCGTGGTATGACACTGTCACATTTTTCATCGCGTGTTAATTTTAGTGATTTACACACATATACATACATACATATATATACAGGCGAGTACATGTATGTATGTGTGTAAATCACGAAAATTAACATGTGATGAAAAATATGACAGTGTCGGACCACGGAGGAAGAATTGAAATAGGAATTCCTAAGTACTTTCATATAGTAATACATCTTCAGAAGGAATGATTTACAAGTCAAGTATTGGACATACATATAGGCAGGAGAGAGAGGTGAAGTGAGGTACAATGAAAAATGAATGGGAATTAGGTGGATATAAATAAGAGCCGCATAAGAACTGCAGAAGGCCTGTTGGCCCATACGAGACAATTCCCATTTATACCCACTAATGGTTTATGGGCCCATAAAATAAGAGCTGCATCAATAGGCCCATACATGGATTATAATAGCATAAGATAGTAAATATTTACAAAGAATTAGTGAGACAAATGTGTATCAATGATCCTACTCAAATTGCCCTTTAATTGATCTATCAAAAATGGATCTAGGTTATATAAACCACTGCTAATGTTCAAATTACATTCTTTTGTAATCTGTATTAAAGCAGATTCAATTATGTTTCTATTGAAAGTGATTTTACAATTCGTTATTGAAGAAGCCATCTCCCAATCAATTTTGTGAGAATTTTCTGACAAATGAACATACAAAGCATTAGACAATTAGCCATGACTTAGAGTATTTATGTTGAAAAATTTTACATTTCAAATCTTTAGATCTTTCCCCAACATAGAACCTATTAGTCTTTACAATTTATTTTATAAATGACACAATTATCACTACGAGTTCTTATGCGGCTCTTATTTATATGCACTAATTCCCATTCATTTTTCGTTGTACCTCACTTCACTTCACCTCTCTCTCTCTCTCTTGCCTATATATATGTCCAATACTTGACTTGTAAATCATTCCTTCTGAAGATGTATTAATATTCGAAAGTACTGGAGGAAATTCCTGTTTCAATTCTAACCGTGGTCCGACACTAATATATATATACAGTAGAACCTCGAGTGACGACCGCCTCAAATGCCGACCAATTTGGGTAACGAACGCTCTGAATGCCGACAATTCGTGTCGTTAGGCGACCGCTCGTTTGAATAACGTCAACACCACATGGTGGGGTCGCGGGCTGCTTCTCACACGTTCTCGGACGCTTCCAACGATGCAAATAAATTATTTTTTCTTTGTTTAAAGATGCTATTGATGCTGGGATGTTGCAAAGCATTGACTTTTTTGTAGAAAAACGAACTGGAATTTTTTTAAAAGAACAAATGTCAAAAAAGTTCGTTCAGTGTTTGTCAGGTAGGGCTGCTCCATGTTTCTTAACACTTTGGCGTACCCCGAGCGCCACCCCTCAACTGTGCGATTTGGGTCCCAGCGTTTCACGGGAGCGCGCGATAATTCTGAAAAGTGTATACTCTCTTCAACTTTGTCACCTCAATTCTCGTCCTACGAGATTAAATTTGGTATCATTGTGTTCGCAATAGAATTCTCTACAGCACTAAAGGCATATAAACTCCAAAAGGCCGGCTAATTACCCGCAGCAAACAGAGAAAGTGCGAACAAGTTACCCAGGAGCGCGCAAAAGCGATAAAATGTGTCAATTTTCGTCCTAAGTCTTTCATTTTGGTCTCAATGGGTTCGCAATAGAATTCTCTAGAGGAATATTAGCATATAAAATAAAAAACCTGGTCACGCTCCACCAGCCGACTAGTTGAAGACGGGCCACGCGTTAACTGTGAGTGAGTGCCCAGACGCCTTCCAGCTACACTCCCAATTCCTGCCCACAAATGTTTAGTATTAAGTATTTTAGTATATTTAGTATTATAGTTTAGTATTTTTTGTGTAGTAGTTGTACACCACATAAGCATTGTAGATAGCCGATTGCACAAAATAGGTCATTTTCTTCGTCCATTTGTGAGTTTTCCTTATGAAGTGATATTTGATCATTTGGTCAAAGTGATCAACACCTTTCATGTTTGTATTGTAGTCACAGATTGCATTCGGCTTGTTGACAGTTACCAAACAGTCCCCCAAAAATCGGATAAAAACCTGATTTTTGGCAATTATTTTAGTGGACGACGCAGAATGGCGTCATCCCCGAGATTACCGACAGTAAACGGATGACGCAATACTGCATCATACCCGGACTAAAGTGTTAAAAAAAAATGAAAAAATGGAAAAAATGAAGAATTTTGAGAAGCAGAACAAATGTCAAAAAAGGTTCCTTCAGTGTTTGTCGGGTAGGCTGCTCCATTATTGAGAAATAAATGAAAAATACAAAACAAATGGAACACATTTGAAACACAGAAAGATTGTTATAATGGAGCAGCCTACCCGTCAAACACTGAACAAACCTTTATGGCATTTGTCCGTTTTTCAAATTTTCAACTTTTTTTTTTTTTTTTTTTTAATAAATTTAAGAAACATGGAGCAGCCTACCTGACAAACACCGAACGAACCTTTTGCTATACAATAAATGAAAAAAATTGAACAAATTTGAAGAAATAAAAATGTCATAAAAGTTTGTTCATTGTATGTAAGGAAGGTAGGCTGCTCCATTATTTAAAACATCGAATATCATATTGATGTTTTTCGGTGGTAGATCGGATTATTTCTATTTACATATTCCTTTCAATCGGGAAGTTCATTTTGAATGATGTCAGTTTGATATGACGACCACGGCGCCGGAACGGATTAAAGTCGTTATTTGAGGTTCCTCTCTCTCTCCAAGCCAATTATTTTAGCTAAGAGTAAAAATGGGATTAAGAGATACTAGAAGTGGAAATGGGAGTAATGAATGGAAGAAGGGTGATAAGAGATGAGAATAAATAATGAAAGGAGGGAGTATTAGTAAGGGAATTGAGAAAAGACTGAAATAGTATACTACTCTTGATTGGAAGTAAGAGTTGTCATGAGTAAAAGTAGTGTATTTTTTAAGCAGCTGGTTGTACATTTGATGATAATAACAATGGTGGAAGCATTTGAGAAATGTGGTATGAGTGAAAGTTGGTAAGGGAAGAGATGTGGAGTTGGTGATGAACAGTACACATAAGTGGTGTAGCCATATCAATAGAGTGCCTGAGAACCATTTAGCAAAAAGTGTGAAATAAAGGGATCATGATAAATGTAGATGACCAATATCTTGGAATTCCAGAGTGGTAAAATATGTAAATGTGTAAAATAAAGGTGGTGAGAGGAATTCCAGAGTTTCAAGGAATGAATAGTTTTTGTGGTATTAGTCTCTTGGAGAAACTTCTCTTGTTTGCACCCCATCATGAGCTCCTCCCAAGATTGAGTAACACTTGGGCTATAGATATAAATTGAATACTTTTGTGTAACATTTACCCATGCAAACATTCTTACCAACAGGTAACATGGCAGATTATTCGAGACTCAATGGGTCAGATATTGTACGAGCTGTCTTCTATGAAGTTCAAGGACACATTTAAGGATGGAGAGGTCAAGACGAAGAAAGATTTTGACGAAATTTATGAAAATATTCAACAGGCCTTCAGAAATCTTGAAGATTAAGAGGAGACACTACATGGTGGCACTCGCCTTTCTAATGTACTAATCAACCTAGTGATGCATCTTACATGCTGTTGTGTATAGCTCAAATTCATTGTATCATTGATTTGATTCACATACTCATAAACATAGCTCACAGCTCACTTGTGAGTAGGGTGCGCATTAGCTTGGTCAATTGTCAGGATTACAGTAGGAAAGTGTCGTATGAACCTTCTGGCCATTCCACTACCCAGTAATTTTTTGGGTAGTAAAGTATTGTGCTCGCCCTGTTCTGGATCATGTGGGCCTTATGTAAATTTTACTTAGTATTTATATAGTAGGGAGAGTACTATAATTTGTTTTGTATAGTTATACCATGAGATTTCTTTTAAAGTAAGTTATGTGTATAAAAACTATTCTCTCTCTCCATTGTTAGCCAAGGAAGGAGTGACTTGCTTGGGACTGGATGTTTGTTAATTTCATTAAGTGTTTAGTAGAAACTAGGCCATGGGGATGATGAAACCCAGTCAAAAATAGGTAGCCTAATGTGTGTGTATGTGTGTGTGGTGCGGAATGCACTGTCTGTACACAAGAAATTTACAAAATTTTTGCTTGTAAACTAGACATTCCAGACTCAAATTTTGTGTATATTTGTGAATTATATTACGAGTAAAGAGATGGGACGGGAAATTATTGTTTAATTTAATAAACCTCGCCATAGTTGCTTATCATGGTAAAGAATATGATCACAAAACAGATTTTTTCATAAGTTTGAATACATTATCTATTAACTATATTAGGAAAGATGTGAGAGATGTTACATGTCCATTGAATATACTTTAAGGTGAGACCCCTCATAGATTGTGCCATGGCATAGCGAGGGGGCTCACATATGACGCCCTCACCTGGTATGAGTTACCTTGGCTTTGTCTCCTGTCTCTCTAAGGGACAGTTTGAGTTGGAACCCAACCCAAACTAAGGGTTCTCATCAGTGTCACTGGCCCCGTCTCGGTAGATATGAGGGGGCCGCTCTTGGAGACTGGTTTCGAGTGTCTAGGCTGGGACATAAGGGGTAAAGAGGTCTTGCATCAGTATTGGAGAATGTTCAATGCAATAGAACCACTGTTATAAAGGATGTACTCATTCCTACACTCTTGTGTTCTGTCATCCTTGCTGTCTTAGTATGTGGTATCCTATGGGTCCAGGGCCCGACCCCTCTGCTTCACACCTGGAAACCAAACACTATTCAATGTTCAAATCATGTGGTAGGTGACCAGGCCATTGAGTTGTGTTGGCTTAGAAGTACCCGGGTCTCTCCTTTCCAGAGTGGATGCTACTTGCAAGCTCCGGTGATCCTGCTGTGTTGGGCCCTGACCGAGCTCTGTCTTTGGCGTGCCCTTCTGATCCTCTCCCTACCCTTGTCACTTCATCGGCAGGGGCATCTTCCATGTCCCAGGTGGTGACCAACTCATCACCTGGAGCACACTGCTGTTTGATACAATGGCACCTTACACCATATTTTGTATCATATTTAGGTATAACTGCATTTTTACAGGTAGACAATATGAAGGGGGTTACACTGTGTCAAGAGCTAGCTATGTAAATGCTAAAAAAATTGCCATCTTAGAGGATAGTCATAGAGGGTTATGTGATCAGTATTCACTGACAAACTTTACATGCATTATGAGGATGTCATGAACATGAGTGAATCAAGTCAGTGCAAAGCTCAAAGTACCTCATACCTGAAGGACCTGGACATTCAATAATGTAATGCGAGATCATAACCCAGTTCCTGTTCAGAGTTTGCACCTGGAGGGCTCAGGCTTGGAAGATCCGTCACATATCGCCACCTGCCATAGGTAATAGTAGCCCAACTTTGCTATTGGGGAAAGCATGGATATGTAAATTTCACTTTAATATGAACCATTGCTGCATATTTTGCTACATTACATGGGCAAAATAGTTTGGTGTCTATCTTGACAGTTGATTGACTGTTGCTTCTCATTCCATTTGGTCTGGCAAATGTTGAAGTCCTTTCTAGGGAAGCAGCTGATTGCCTAGCTACTCTGTAAAGTTTTGGGGAGATTCTAGTTCATGTCTCAAATTATACATCTAAATGCCAGCATTATATATGAGGACATTATTATTCTTGTGCCCCATGTTTCAACAAAGAACAAGGACCTTACATAGTGATTGTCACAGATATTTGTCACAGATATTATTGCCATCCTAGAATTCCAAGGCCATTCTGTTATCCAGGTTGATACACAGTATTCACACATGGCTTCCCTGCAATCAGTGATGTTAAATCCTTTGTATTGTTAAGATCACTTTAGATGTTGTCTTCCCACCCTTGGTAATTCTTTCTGGTATCAAGTGTACTGTGCAGGAATATATTCTCTGTGCCTCTGCAGTAAGTGCTGGAAATATAAACATGGTGCTTCGATTTGTTGTAGGAAGAGGGTCTTTTCCCCCCCCCCCTCTGTGTACCAAATTCTGCCTTTTCTTTTTTCTTTTTACACCATTTTCTTCATTAACTAGTGAGACCTACCCTGACTTCTCAGTTGTGTTTGCACTATAAATTCGAGCAGGCCATCCTCAACCTGCAGCCTGTTCTTATAAACAAAGGCCAGTCCATTCCATGCACCCACCAAACCCCATGTTTATGAATGAAAAATGGTTTGCACACAACTCGCAACTGATGACGTCCAAACACTTCCAGAGCAAGTTTTATTTTATTTTTTAATTTTTTTTATTTATATATACAAGAGTTCTTACATTCTTGTACATCCACTAGTACACGTAGCATTTTGGGCAAGTCCTTAACCTTATGTTTCCTGGAATACGACCCCGCGAAAAATCTTTTAACAACCAGGTACCCATTTTACTGTCAAGTTAAACAGATGCTACAGTTTAGGATTGACGCCCAGGATACGAACCCAGGACAAAGTGCTCACGAAACGCCAGGCGAGTGTCTTAACCACTACACCACGAGGGACTACTAGCACTGCCAGCACCACAAGTGCTTCGCTGACGACCTTTGTTCGAACATCAACGGTGTAAATGCTTCACCTACATATTACAAATTCAAATAATCGCCAACAGAACCTAAACACCTAACCAATGCCAAAATATGCACACTATGCTAATACACGTATATAATAATATTAATTTATACTTTGAAAAAATTCCTGTTTTGAATAAACAGCATGTTCAAATTTATGAATGCGTCTTTGGGGTCAAGATACAGGGTCGACTGCTGGATTGAATGTACTTGGTCTGAGAATTGGATGAAACCTGAAACGGAGATCATATCTCATTCCCTAAGATATGCCACACTTTCCAGCAACTTAGCCACTTCTCTAATATTGCTAATGCCTGTGTGGGTCATGACCTGACCTGCCCCTTTTTCCATAACTATTTACAAGCTCTGGCCCCCCTCCCTTTCCAGCCCGTTGCTGTCTCTTTGGGACAGCTTATCCGCTGTCCTTTTGAAGCTTTATGCTCCTGCTGCTGTTCTTACAAATTTTGTTGGATGATTTTTACTCTTCCTCGTGTTCAATTTTTCCTCCCCACCTCTTTTCTTTCTTTCTGATTGTTCCCTTCCTGCTGACTTTTTGCCGTTCTTGAATATTCTCTGTCTTCTGCTTTGACGCCAGGTGTTTGAGGAGGTGCATGCACTCACCTGTCGAACTGTGGTACCTGACATTTGTCAAGTGAGGGGACGCTTTTATTGTCAATCTTTGTCTTCATTGCGGAGCCCAATCTTGACGGACTGACCATTCTTAAAGTGGCGATTGCAGGGTGTATATCCACGATGCACCCCCTGGGGAGGCGCTGTCTTTTTGGGTGTCCTATCCTGTAATTGTGGCTCCCTGGTTGGTATGGGGGCTTATTTGTGGATGAAATTTTTACCTGTTTGTATGCCATTCTCTAACCCTCATTTAACTTCTCAGACTAATGGGGGGGATGGGTGACCTGGCCCCCCAAGTTGGACTGTGATGGAAGATGGGGCTCTGTAGCCCCCTCTACATTGAACCCAGACCAAGCTGCTTCTCTGACTCTCCCGAGAGAGAGAGAGAGAGAGAGAGAGAGAGAGAGAGAGAGAGAGAGAGAGAGAGAGAGAGAGAGAGAGAGAGAGAGAGAGAGAGAGAGAGGAGAGAGAGAGAGAGAGAGAGAGAGAGAGAGAGAGAGAGAGAGAGAGAGAGAGAGAGAGAGAGAGAGAGACTGACTGCTCTCCTCCCACCTGTGGCAGGATTGAGCCCCGAGCCCCCAGTAGTGACTACTTCATCACCTGGTGTGGCTCTGTCTCTCATTGTAACAACTGTGTCTATTACGCCCTCTCTAAGTTGAGGTGCTTGGCGCCATCACCTTTGCACTCACATACGCATGATTCTTTCCCAATCTACTACATTCCCAATCAACGAAGTGGACTAAGTATTTTGATCTGTCATGTTAATCCTACTCGTCCTGATGATTTATTCCTCCATAAGCACCTTGTTGATTTGGGCGATACATTTGTCACTTTTAACCCCACCCATACTGGTACATGTGTCACTGCAGCCCTTTCTCAGAAGTGGCTGACCACTTGGCTTCGTTGTCCCTGCATTTGAGAGAGCCCTGTTTGGATCTCTAAAAATGCCCAGTTAAATGCTAGCATTGGCACAGTTCTTCTCCTGCACCATGATGCGACTGGTGATAAGGAACTGAAAGACTGCCACAAGGATATTAAATATATTCTTCAGGCTCAAGGCCATTCTAAATTCCAGATAATAATAATAATAATAATAATAATAATAATAATAATAATAATAATAATTTATTTGCAAGAAGGTACAATGGGTTGTTATTACATAAAATTGGTATTTTTACATTCATGCAAAGCCACTAACGTGCATAGCATTTCGGGCAGGTCCTTAATCTAACATATCAGGTAAGATGAAAGGGTACATTGTAGCATGGTTTTTATATCAACAAATAACTACAACATAAGTTGACAGCGGTGATTACACTGGTAAGGATATGTCTTAAGTACTGTACTAATATTGGAGAAGTAGGTACAGTAGTACAAGATAGTGTGAGTGAAGCACAAGTTAGGAAACTATGAGGATGAAATTAGGTACTTTTTTGTTTTACAGTACTTTTAAACAGGGCATGGGTTGGACGATTTTTTAATTCATCAGGGAGTGAGTTCCAAAGACTGGGTCCTTTTATTTGCATGTAGTGTTTGCACAGATTTTGTCTGTCCCTGGGGATATCAAAGATAGATTTATTTCTGGTGTGGTGCTCATGGGTTCTATTACATCTATCAAGGAAAAGTTTCAGACCAAGATTAGCATTTAGGAACAAGATTTTGTACATGTAGATAGCACATGAGAATGTGGGGAGTGAATGTATGTTTAGCATGTTAAGAGACTTAGAGGGGCTGAGTGTTGTCTGAAGAGTGTTTGTTATAGTTCTGATAGCAGATTTTTGTCGAGTGATGATAGGCTTGAGGTAATTTGCAGTGGTTGAACCCCATGCACAGATACCGTATGTTAGGTAGGGATAGATTACTGCGTAGTATAATGAGGGGAGAGCAGAGTGGGGAACATAATATCTGATTTTAGAAAGTATACCAACCATTTTTTATATTTTTTGGCTGTTGTATGTGGATGCTGAAATTCAGTCTCCTGTCTGTGTATAGGCCAAGGAACTTCACCTCATTTTTATTGGTAATGTTAACATTGTCTATCTGAAGTTGAATATGATTTGATGATTTACTGCCAAATAAAATGTAGAAGATTTTTTCTATGTTTAGTGTAAGGTTGTTAGTGAACATCCACGAGTGGATGGTTTAATTCACTGTTGACAATATTATTTAGTGTGTAGGGATTGGGGTCAGAATAGACAAAGGTAGTATCATCTGCAAATAGTACAGTATAGGTTTAAGAATGTTAGAAACATTTAGCAACTCATTGATGTATATAAGAAATAGTTGATGTCCCAAGATGCTGCCCTGTGGCACCCCTACTGTCAATGATAAAGTGGGGGAGTGTATGCTATTGATGACTACATATTGGTGTCTGTCACTGAGGTAGGAATGAATATACAGGAGTCCAGAGCACGGCCTCGTATACCATTATGGTGACGTTTAAGAGGAAATTATGGTTTACAGTATCAAAGACCTTTTTGAAGTCAATGAAGCGGCTAATTGGGAACTCATTTTTGTCAAGAGGTAGTGTAGATTATATCAGCAGACTAATAATGGCATCATTGTTACTCTTTTTGGGAACGGAAGCCAAACTGGCAGGGAGTTCATATGTTGAGTTTTACTAAGTAGGAATAGAGCTGTTTGTAAATAATTTTTTCAAATACCTGTACTTTTGAAAGTATAGGCAGATTTGATATTGGTCTGTAATTGTTTGTCAGCTATCTCGTCACCTTTATGAACTGGCATCACTCTTGCTTTTTTAAGGATATCGGGAAAAGTATGACACACTATAGAGATTTGTTGAATAGCAGAGCTATGGGTGGCGCAATAGCAGGGGCAGCACTCTTATATATCATAGATGGTACAGTATTTCATTAATGTTCCCAGATTCGGTTTTAAGTGATTGAATTATGGATATAAGTAATGTCTGTCGGGCTGACTGGTAAAAGAAGTAGAGTGTTAGGATAGCTGCCCGAGATATATATATAGTAATATGTGAGATATGTAGATAAGTTCACATGTGAGATATGATAGATACGTCCACTCGACCCCCTCGTGGTCGTCGTCATCCTCTTCACATTGTGAAGGTCACTTTTGATAGTAGGTCTCTTCCATATCCTGTCATTCTTGCTGGTGCCAGATGCTCCGTTCAGGAGTACATCCCCTCTCCTCGCCTATGCAGGTGCTGGGGATTTGGGCATGGTCCCTTCAGGTGCACAAGTGAGTTGTGTGTATGCCCCTTGTGTGGAACCTTGGGTCATTCTAAGATGGAGTGCTCTTCTTCCCAAGCTCACTGCATCAATTGCGGTGATCCCACCCTGCCTTCTCCTGTACATGTGTGCACTACAAATTTGAGGATGCCATCCTCAACTTGAAACATCGTAATAGTTTATCTTCTCCTGAGGCGAGACGCCAGGTTTGCCGAACCTAGAGGGAATATAATTCCCAACTAAGAAAGCAGTAGTTAGGGGTCCCATCAAAAGCTAGAGGGAAAGAGAGAAAGGAATATCTGTGGAAGTGACCACAACAAGCGCCAGCATCTCTCTGGAGACACACAAAGCGGTGAAAACTGTGATATCAGAAGATGGAGTTAATTTAAACTGGTATAAAACCACATAAATTCCATTTTAAAATAGACATAGTCATGAACAGATAAAACAGTAAAAAGAAAACAGAAAAACTAAGGCAAAGAACTGTAAATTAGGAAAGATTAACTGGTGGTTCAGTGAAATCCAGGTTGGATTTCGATGAGTCACAATAATGTGGCTGAAGATATGATAGTCACACATCAAGAAAGTGAAGAAACGATGACATTTTGGTCCCTCCTGGACCATTATCATGCCGTGTAAAATAAGAGAGCAAGGAACAGGCAAATATAAAGTGAGAGTGTGAGGTAAGGAGCAGGTAAAAGAAACATAAGAATAGGAAGAATATAAGAATAAGGTAAGAATCGGACGAGTAATAAAAAGAGGAAGGCAAGAATAAGAAAAGGGGTAGGAAAAAGCATCAAAGGCAAAGTTTCATTCAGATCATGATTGTTAAGAAAGTTGGAGCATTTGAGTATATACTGTGAAAGGGAAGAGTCGACAGCAACAAAGCCAGGACTAAGGTTCATGTTGGGTTGGTTGTGTATCAGAGCTGATTCAACAAAACTGCAACTGTGAGTAGAGGTAGGTAGTTATTTGAAAACAAAACCAATCTATAGGATGATTAAGAGTCCCTTACATGACAAGGAAGCATTGTGTGTAAACATAACACTTCTTTTGTGTTCCTCAAATCTGTCATTTAGTGAACACAAAACAGACACAATGCTAAGGGTTTATGGATATGCACAGCATCAGGGCAGGTATGGTCATCAGGACAAAGATCATAATACAGTACTAAGACCATGTAGTGGGGCCGAACAAATCCTGGAAAGTAGCAGGGAAAGCTGGAAGCAAACATGTGAGTGTGAGATGATGGTGTCAAGGACCACCCTATGAAGGAGGGGGTTGAACAGCTCAGTTGTTACAATGGAAGGAGTCATACAAGGGGATAAGGTAGTAACCACAGGGGGCTTGGAGCTGAACCCAGCTACATTAGTGGGAGGGAAGCGGGGAAGAGTCAGTATGGGTATTCAGAGATGAAGCCGGGTCTGGGCCCAATGTAGTCAGGGATATGGAGCCTATCCTTCCATCATGGTTCAACTCTGGGGCCTAGTTGCCCACCCCACAAGTCTTAGAACAGGGAAAGAAGATAAAATAGGGAGTCTAAAATCTGCATAAAATGAACACAAAATTGTCCACAATTATGCACCCATATCCAACCATGGCGCCACAATTAGATGACAGGGAATCCCACAATACTGGCTGTTCCAGGGGTGCATCCTGGATATACAGTATATCCCACAATCATTACCTTAAGAACCGTCAATCCATTGACATAGGGATCAGTAATGAAGAGTTTTACAAAAGCTTCCCCTTACTTGAACACATCAGGTACTCCAGTTCAATGGGCGAGAAAGTGCACCGTCTCAACTCGTCCCTACATCGGAAAATAAGAAATCAAATGAAAGAATATTCGAGATTAGATTAGAGTTGTTACAAAGCTTCATGCAGAAAGAAGTAGGGAGGGAAGAAAGAAACATGAGGAAGAGAAAATGGTGTCCAGCAAAATTAGTAAAGGCTGAAGAACAAGGTTAAAAAAGGACATGAAGTACCATCTTATTGAGCATCACACTCCAGCAGCCACCCACCAAGCCGCCTCACGTCAACAATGGGCTAGACTCAAAGGGAGCCGGTCGGCCAAGCAGACAGCATGCTGGACTTGTGATCCTGTGGTCCTGGGTTCGATCCCAGGCGCCAGTGAGAAACAATGGGCAGTTTCTTTCACCCTATGCCCCTGTTACCTAGCAGTAAAATAGGTACCTGGGTGTTAGTCAGCTGTCACGGGCTGCTTCCTGGGGGTGGAGGCCTGGTCGAGGACCGGGCCGCGGGGACACTAAAAAGCCCCGAAATCATCTCGAGATAACCAGTGAGGGGTCCCTGTGTTCAAGGTATTTACCCATATGACTAACAACAATGGTCCCAGGGCAGAGACCTGGGCACACCACTTAAAAGTTTCTCATTGAATAAACTCCATCTATGCCATTTGATTTCTTTGAAATAACAAAGCTCTAATACATGAAACAGCAAAGGAAGGATTGGGATTGAACATCAACAATGCACTAGTCAGTCTGGCAAGTGCCTTATGACTGAAGCACGTAAATATGGAGTTTGAGATCATTAACTGCATTTCCAAAAGAACACACTGGCCCATCTTGAGAACAAGAGAAGTTAAAGGGGCTGTCATGACAACCTTGGATTAATTCATAATTAATGGAGAGCTGGTCACACTTTGTGATTAAATATTTGCCACTGCTACAAAGAAGTGGCAGTGAAGGTTAGATGGTCATCAGGCTAGTGCAGAGGGTGCAGTGCTGCAGTCAGCAAAAGCTGTGGGGCCATCAGGTAGCTCTCCATGGGGTAAAAAAGTAGCAAAACCCTAGAACCAAGTTTGCTACACGTCTTCCTGGCTTGTTGCCTTCTTTTGATAATTACTTACTTTGCAGGCTAGTCACCCATCAAACAAGATTGGAGATCATCTTGCCATCACCATGTGTATTAGTGGCTTTAGGCATAGTACTGTATGTACTAGCTCTATGTAGAAATCCAACATTATGTTTGTAACTAATTTTGAATGTATGTACTTTTACCTGAATAAACATTCTTATCTATCATCATACAACAAAAAATCATATCTGTGCCTACATTCAACAAACAGGGATTGCATCCACAGGTCACCACCGAAAAATTAGGAACCAACAGGTGTGCAGACTTCTTTATGCCAACTTAATATTATTCCTACTAACTAGTCCAGCTGATGTACTTAACCAGGCTACAAAACCTTCTAATTTACCCCTACCTAACAAAGGAGTGTGTTGCCCCACAGGGCATGCAGTCTTGGGAACACTCGACTCCCAGATGAACAGAAATGGAGGTTTACAAGTTTCCACGTAGGGCAAGCACTTGGCTGGCGTAAGGCCAGACAATATTTGGTCGAGCTTTTAATTTAGTAGCCAGTTTTACAAATGAACCTGCCGGAGCCTCAAGGCACCCAATAAAGCGTCGGGGTCGAACAAAGCAAGCAAGGCCCACCATAGTAACCGCCAAGGGGAAAAATTCAGTCTCACTGCCCCATTTATACTAATTTCAGTCTTTCACTAACTTGTATCTATTCACTTTTAGTAACCATCTGAAATCTATACAAATCTTTTCCTTTGCTAGATCATCATTTACATGCATCAAATCTGACACTCCCATTATCCCTATCATATGAGGGCTTATTAGTGTTAAAAAGGATAAAAAATGTTTCTACCAAATGTTTGATAAATTTCTTATAATTTCCTGTTAATGTACACGGGTCTTGGCAATACTACAAGATATAGTGCTTGCAAAATAAATACAACATTATGTACACGTGTTTGTCTGACAGGTGGGAGCTTTCCCTATTCCTTGCACATTTCCTTTTATAAATTCCTACATTGTAGAAACATATCAAATGCTCCTGAAAAAACAGTTACACTGCTTGCTGGTGACCATGTGTCTCGGGTAAAACTTGACAAGTTAACATTTTTAGAGATACAGAATCTAACAAGGGAAATCTTTTAAAATACATTAAAACTATTTTAATGGCATTTATTCTATAATGCAGCATCTATTTACATTTATGAAATCACATCCATGGGCATTGCCATAACTTGGTCAAAATGTTTCATGTAGTAGTACTGTATTTATCAATTCACAGTGAATGGCAATCTCTTAGCAAGGGAACAACTGCTTATTTGGGAGGCTTAAAAGCAAATTTCCTACTCTTGAGTACCGTCCACTTGTGTCTCTTGATGTAATAAGTGACGGCACAGAGGAGAGAAAATATCATTAATGACTTCAAAGCCATCCTTTTGCGTTCATCGTGCTCAGGCTCTCCAGCCCACTTGAGGAAGGTTGCTACATCTTTGGCCATTTGTGATGATGTAGCAGGGGTGCCATCACTGTACTCCAATGCCTAAAAAGAGAAAAATGCCAATTTAAGATTTAGACAAAATTAATAAGCTTAGGCTCAGCTACAAGTAACACTGGGAGTTTGCAACATCTGCTGATGTAGCAAAATGAAAACTCTGTCAGCAGAGTTTACATACTTGCATACAATTTGCATAATTTGCATCATTATATAACGGAAATATGAAAAAATTGCAAAATTCAGAGATAACACCATCAATTGAGTCCAAGAATTGTGTAAGTACGTCAAACTTTCCTTTAAAGACTATTCATAGCCCAGTCGATAGTGCTACGGCCTCACACGCATAGCGTCCATGGTTCAAGACCCATACAGTCCAGGTTACCCGGTTGATGGGGTTCTGGGAGTTCTTCTATTCCCCAAGCCTGGCCCAAGGCCAGGCTTGACTTGTGAGAGTTTGGTCCACTAGGCTGTTGCTTGCAGCAGCCCGCAGACCCACATACCCACCACAGCCCGGTTGGTCCGGCATTCCTTGAAGAAAATGATCTAGTTTTCTCTTGAAGGTGTCCATGGTTGTCCCAGCAATATTTCTTATGCTCGCTGGGAGGATGTTGAACAACCGTGGACCTCTGATATTTAGAGAGTTCTCCGATTGTGCCTATGGCACTCTTGCTCTTCACTGAAGCAGGTTATGGAATGGAGGGAAAGTACTTCATTCATAATGATGTACTGCTAGGAATCTTAGCAAAGTATCCAAAATTTGCTTACTGTAGGTGCAGCCTGCACACACATGACTGTAAAGCTGCCATCCAGTTGGGTGGGTGTGCAGCTGCATGACTCACCATAGATGTAAAGTGCCTTGTATAGTGACTTGAGAGCCTCTTGTTGCATTACTTGTGATATAAAAAGATTATCGACATGTATATGTATTTGTGTACATGGATGTATATACAGTATATGTGTACATGGGAGACCGGGTGGGAGCCGGTCAGCCGAGCGGACAGCACACTGGACTTGTGATCCTGTGGTCCTGGGTTCGATCCCAGGTGCCGGCGAGAAACAATGGGCAGAGTTTCTTTCACCCTATGCCCCTGTTACCTAGCAGTAAAATAGGAACCTGGGTGTTAGTCAGCTGTCACGGGCTGCTTCCTGGGGGTGGAGGCCTGGTTGAGGACCGGGCTGCCGGGACACTAAAAAGCCCCAAAATCATCTCAAGATGGGTATGTAACATTAACAAGTGTGCAACTAGCTTCAAAAGATTGTCACTTACTGAACTGATTATGTGCCTCTAACCTTTTCCACCACCGCCCACAAGATGGGAATGGGGTGCATAATAAAGAAAAATTGAATTTTGGATTTAGGCTGAATTCTTTAGATTTTGTATTTTAAAACAGGCAGATACCAAGAAAATAGGATGGTGATAATTTGAGAAGTTATAATCTCCATGATACAGATGTAGTCATCACTCACTAATATAAATGTGTTCTTGCCTGATTCTTTGGTTTACCTGTGGCATTCGTTTCTCTCACACATTTCTTGGCTTTAAATGGGGCTAAAATAACAAGTTTTATGTTTGCGCTATTGGTTTGATTTATAGAAAGACTGACTAAATGAGCATCTTTCTTAATGGAGGAAGAAGCAAAAAGATCAAAACATGTTTGAGAAAAGAAACATCCTGGAAAAGAAAGATTTGAACTGTAGCAGTTCTATGAATCTAGGAAACAAATATTGATGCGAGCCAATGAAAGAACATAAATGATAGTGTAGAGAGATGCGAACCATTTATTGATATCTGCCTGCCAAAAATCTTGGAGAGACAATGATTCAAGTAAAAAATTGGACAAAGGCAACTTGAGAAAGGAAGGCAAAAAACCAAAGTTGAACCAGCCACATGTCAGCAAGAATTGCAATTGACATTAAACCTCTTTAACTTGTACAGGACAGGAAGCAACCTCTAGACCAAAAGGAAGAGGGTAGGGGCATGTATCATAGGACCAGCACATACCAAAAAACATACCAAATAAGGCACAAAGCTAGAAAGTCAAGCTGCCAACAGTTTCACGTCAAGGTGAAGAGGGCCACTAGAAACAACTGAATGGAGGCCCAATCCTCTTCAATAAAACACAAGCGAGATAGCACCCATGACAGTGTTCGACACCTCTGTAATGGGAATTACACAGCGGAAGGATAAAATCCAGACGTTCCCACTCAGACAGGAACAATGGCGAGCAGTTCAAAGACCATCTAACCTTTCAGGAATGAGATGCACAATCCAAACTGCCAGTTCTTCTTCCACAGCAATGTGGGCAACAACACTGCCAGTGAGCATCTTTCCTTGCCTGGAATGATGAATGCTGGACACTAAAAGCAGTCATAACCCAACAAATTTATCCAAGAACTTTTATGGAATTGAAGTCATCTTGGGCCCAAAGAACCAGACAGGTTGGGTGGGGTCCAGAAATAGGGGCCACCAGAACAACCACTACAAGGTAGAAAAATATGGACCACCGCACCCCCAACTGCAAGTGTGTGGAATGAACACAAATAAAAACTCCCAACGAGACTGGAGAGAATTTTTCAGCTTCCAGGACTTACTCTGCCAGTATGTAATATTATGCCTATTATGATGTTATACTGTATATATGACATGTGTACAGTTATTACACTGTACACATGTTATATCTGACTACTTGTATGCACCATTATGAACCACTAAGCAGTTCTGGTCGGTGTAATAATCTCTTAACTAGTGATCAGAGTTCAGCCTAGGCCAGCATACTATGCATGGAGCACTAAGTGCACATGCTGAACATATTATACTTTCCTTGTATTTTTAATGATTTACTATTGTTTTTTCAAGTGCATTGATGCATCAGGCTCTCAAAATGTTTTTTTCTTAGAACATGCACACACACACACACACACATTCTTGTCACCAATATACACACAATATTATATTCTTTGAACAACATACTGTACTGTTTTTACTGTTATTACACTGAATACACATTACATATAACAATCTACATGTTTATACACCATTACATACCCGTAAGCAGTTCTGGTGGGTGTGGTAATCTTGTAATCCAAGCACAGCACAGCACCACACGTAATTACTGATGCCACCTGGCAAAGCACAGCACCTCCCAATCTATTTACAGTACACGCACTGCTATTTCAAGCCACAACACTAATATCAGAATCCTTCTCACTAATATAATTCTAATATCAGAATTATGAATATGAACCATTTTCAGAAAGTTTGTTTCTTAAAGGAAGATGAGGTCCCATTTCATGCGTACACACTCGAAAACAAGTGTGGCTGTGTGCTGTGAACATTGTAACCAGCATTAGATGCAGCAATATCTGAACCTTACCTGGAGAAGGTTTCGGGAGTTCTTCTACTCCCCACTGCACTGCTGTGCAGTTGCAGTTAGTGCCCACAGCATCACTTGATAAAATAAATAACTGCGATTGTTTAACTGATGTCTTAGAAGATCCTGACTGTGATATATGTACAAGGTCGAGCCTGGCCTGAGGCTCGACCTTGTACATCTGTCATAGTCAGTATCTTCTAAGACATTATCAGTTAATTAAGTTACTTTGTTATCAAGTGATGCTGTGAGCATTAACTGCAGAGCAGTGCACTGAGCTGCTGCTACATGTCCTATTCATGGTTCTCTCAGTACCGAGGCCCTCACACCAGGAGGGGGGGGGGGTTAACAATTGGATTTCCTCCCCAAGATGACATTTACTAACTTATGTCCTGAGGAAGCAGATGCGAGACCTGTGTACCCGTGGGAGTTTTAAATCCAACAGTTCTTTAAAATATCCCTGAGCATGTTATGCAGTTTCTAGATAATCAGCGTTCTAAGGGGTTGTCTTAGCCAGGGGGTGGTAATGGGGGACGAGCTCCCATGACCTATAAAATGCTCCTATACGGCATGCGTCTCCAATAGCCTCTGACAACCAAGTCCAACTCCTGGCCTGCACGGGTGGCTTAGTCTTTAAGTCCGGCGGAACTGCTTTTACCGACAGGAGAAGGGGCGAGGGCATGCCTCTGGCGCCTTAAAACCAGCTGCTCCGTGTAGATGGGACTTGATAGCCTGGGAAGGCAGCCCATCTAGGGGAAGGAAAACCCTGATTTTAAACCTCTGCTGCCTTGCGGCCATACCCCCTTTTTGGGAAAGGCTTCAGGAGTCAACCTCGAGGAAAAATCCGGAGTTGGAGCCCCTAAGGCAGTTCGTTGTTGACGTCGACCTCGTTCTGGCAGCTCCTGCGACGTTGCTGGAACCATGTGTATTGGCATTTGCCTTTCTATTGGATAATTTCAGCAATGTGGAGTGGGGGGGACCTGCTGCATGGGTAACAGCTTCTCCATATCTACCTACCCAGGCTTTTCCATAATCTTTAGACTGAAGGATGCCTACTACTAGATAATCAGCGAGAATATCCCTAGCTGTGTCACACAGTTGAAGGGTTAAGGAGGCTTGACAAGGTTAGTTGTCGTTCTGTTATAGGGAGCTGTTACCTCAGTGCGGCTCGAGACTTGTCAGTCTTGCTTCTCTGACTACATGACCAGACTATTTGAAAAGTTAATCATAGGAACATGGTGGATGAGTAAGTCATTAGAGCCACGAGGCATCATGTTTATTTGTGGGTCTATACAAAGCCAATGGTTCAATACAACAACTGAGTGGGCCTTACTTCAGAAATCTAAATTATGTAAATATATATAATTTTACTAATTACTAATAGTTTGTATACATTAGAAAGAGAAAATACAAATAGGTCACTACATGCAACATCCACGATGGTGGTGTAAGTAAGTAAGTAATTATCAAAAGAAGGCACCAAACCGGGAAGGCTATGTAGCACCATCAAATACGCAAAATAATCAGAGGGCGCTAAATATCACCAAGGATGCCAATACGAGAACAAAAACGCATAAGGCGAACGATATCAAAAGTATCCGAGTCACCAAGAATTCTATCGAGGGACAGGTGACCGCGAGGGGCGGTCGGAAAGCAAGACACACGCTCGTCCTG